GGCACAGGATTTTTTTTTTTAAGTAAATATTGCAGTATGTGTACATAGTTTTATTCTAATACACGCAACCAAGCGTGTCCATCAACGTGTTTTCTTTTTTTCTGAATTCAACTGCCAACTATACTTCACCAGAAACTTAAACAATAAAGAGCATCCAATGACAGAAAAAAAAAAAAAAAAAAAAAAAAATATGGGCTTTTCGAAGTTAGACTGCATCAGTATAAAAGGTAAGGAACCAACAGTCTGCACAAACATAAGCTAGATCTGTAGAGCAGATGTGTAGGCAAAGCTCCAGTTCTGGAACCAAATGAAAGTCCAGAAGTGGACAAACAACCCGAACCTTCTGCCAAAGTTAAAAGCCGTTAAACACGGCAAAGAAGAAGAATAGACCATCTATTACTGATGTCAACTGTGCATTCTCCATAATGGAGATTGGCTACAATGGATATGCAATGGATTCTGATGACACTGGGAATGTTAAAAGTAAAGTCAGGAGATGTGAACCAGCCTCATTGCACATGGTTATAAACCATAAGTGCTCTGCTACCAGTAAGGACAGCTGGTAAGAAACTGTCCGCCTATATCGCCGTCCGCACGAAACTCCGTTACTACAGCTACGTTTCTCCATGTACTCCAGAGTGTAAACTGGGCTCGCATGAGAATGCACAATGTGCCGTTAGATACCATTTCCAATGGGTGCCGCTTTAGCGCAGTAGACAGGAGACTCGCTTCCAAATCCTGCTGCGACTCACTGCAGCACATGGTCGGTGTTCGAAACCAGGCGGTTCCCGGGGTTCACCCAGCCTTTAGGAAATGGGTACCATGCGTGCTCAGTCCTCCGATGCAACAGCCACTCCTAGGTACTTCAACTAATTGTTCCCATCAGATATTGGTTATGTCTCTTATCTCGCCCTCCAAGATGGCTTAGACATGCTTCCCCATGCTTGATGCCCATGTCATGCAGTTCGTCATTATCCACTAGCCTAGTCCGTACAGTATTGATGATATCTGCTCTGACCATGCTTCTTTCCACATGCACTGGTGAACTGCCTGCCGCTTGGTCCGCTCGCTCATTACCCATTACGCCCGCATGACCAGGTGTGTAGATCCAGGTGAGGGAGGTTCAGTGCAATTTTCCAATGCTTTCTACCCATTCAGAGCGCACACCGCCTGTTCCTCTTCTCTGAAGCATGTTCATGGAGTCTGGTACAATTACTGCATGTGTGGCTGTTTGTCTTTGAACATGTTTGAGAATGGAGGTGGAGGCAGTCTCTGCTGCCTTCCGCTGGCTCGAGAATCAGCTGTACAATCTTGTGATTGTAACTGACTCATAGAGCATGTTGAGAAAGGTGAAAACAGGCATGCTTCGTGCAGAATAGGAAGCATCACTTCAGAGGTCCCAGGTAGTTAGCATCCTTTCGATATTTTCTCCAGGTTGTGCCAGTGTTTTGGGAAATGAGAAGGCACAGACTGGCTGGCTCTACACCACTTGGTGAATTGATGAATAACGAGTTAGATATTGTGAGGGCCCTTTGGGAGCAAGTAAACAATGCAGAGGTGCAGACAGATCATATCGGTCTGAGGAGAATGGTGCAGCCAGGAGTTACCAGGAGATCTGGCTGATGCTCAACACTCAGCAGAAGGATGAGACGGATATACAATCAGGCGGTTACTGGCACCATTGGAATTGAAACTCTTCGCTTGCTGCTCAAGATGGAGACTGAGCACTTATGGGAATGTCCCGAGTGCTGTGATGTCGATTTTTAATTCAACATTCTTTGGAAATATTAGATGGCCAGACCAAATCTCTTCAACACTGTAATCTCACCCCATTTACCAAAAGCCCAGAGAACGCTGCGAACATTGAATCAAATCCTTGTAGACAGGCTTGTAAAACTGCCAATTAACCCCTAAGACACGTATATATACACACATACTCAGAGGGGTATGGGGAGGCTGAATCTGAGCACCTATAGAGGAAAATCTCAACAATAACTGACAATTCAGAGCATGATCAATTAAACATTCCAGCAATGGGGTAAGAATATGTTAACTAAAGGAAAAGATCAGCTTTATTTGCAGAGTCACCTTCCAGAATTGAATTTACAACATCGGCATTAACTGTAGAAGGCCAGCTATTTTTTTAACTCTTAGTCTACTTATTTATTCCTTCATTAGTGTCGAATGAAAAAGTACAACACCTGGTCAATGTAACTGACTATAAAGAACAAGCAGAAGAAAGGGTTACTTGCGAACTACCATGTACCCAGCTACATTAGTGACGCACTATTTGATATACCTCCACTTCTTTCACAAAAGCAGATAAATATTGAGGTGAGGTCCGTAGAATAAAGGTCAAAGGTGTTGAATCCACGACAATGAGAGGAATACACAGGACAGAAAATACAAGCCCTACATGAGGTACAATGGAGGATGATGATGATCTTCTAGCCCAGAAACCTGGGTACAAATCTCTTCTGCCTTTCTATCCCCCAATGGAGCATAGGCCCTCAACCAACTCACGCCAAGTCGTCCTATCCTTCACTATTACATGGAGCTCTCCGTATATTTCTAACTTTATTCTCCAGCTCTCTTCTCCATGTGTTTTTGGCCTTCTGTTATTCCCATGCCCCTGTGGGTTCCAATGCAAAGACATTCTAGTTATGCTGTTCTCCTGTTTTCCCAATGTGTTTCCTATCCAATGCCAGCATCTTTTCCTCACCTCTAGGCCCACTGGAGCTTGCTTAGTTCTCTCCAAAATGTACACATGTTCTATGAATCAAACTGTCTAGAGATTGGTAACAGAACCTTAACTAAAAAAATTTGAGGATATAATGTAAACAACAAGACCAACAATTAATTCATTCATTTATTTGCTTTTTCTGGGAGTAGTCACAGACACTTGCCTGCCAGACAGAAAGTCTTAGGTTCAAATCGACACTGAGCTGGTTTTCACGACAGAATCTTTCTCTCTTTCCCAACATAAGATACATTGTCAGTCAGCACACCTTTCTCTCTTTCCCAACATAAGATATATTGTCAGTCAGCACACCTTTCTCTCTTTCCCAACACAAGATATATTGTCAGTCAGCACACCTTTCTCTCTTTCCCAACACAAGATATATTGTCAGTCAGCACACCTTTCTCTCTTTCCCAACATAAGATACATTGTCAGTCAGCACACCTTTGTCTCTTTCCCAACATAAGATACATTGTCAGTCAGCACACCTTTCTCTCTTTCCCAACACAAGATATATTGTCAGTCAGCACACCTTTTTCTCTTTCCCAACATAAGATACATTGTCAGTCAGCACACCTTTCTCTCTTTCCCAACATAAGATACATTGTCAGTCAGCACACCTTTGTCTCTTTCCCAACATAAGATACATTGTCAGTCAGCACACCTTTGTCTCTTTCCCAACACAAGATATATTGTCAGTCAGCACACCTTTTTCTCTTTCCCAACATAAGATACATTGTCAGTCAGCACACCTTTCTCTCTTTCCCAACATAAGATACATTGTCAGTCAGCACACCTTTGTCTCTTTACCAACATAAGATACATTGTCAGTCAGCACATCTTTCTCTCTTTCCCAACACAAGATACATTGTCAGTCAGCACACCTTTCTCTCTTTCCCAACACAAGATACATTGTCAGTCAGCACACCTTTCTCTCTTTCCCAACACAAGATACATTGTCAGTCAGCACACCTTTCTCTCTTTTCCAACATAAAAACAATTGTCAGCCAGTAGCTTTCTCTCTTTCCCAACATGAGAAAAATTGTCAGCCAATACATTTTCTTGTCAACACAAAAGACTTCAAAATATCTTCTCTCCTTGTCTTCCTCAACATCTTTATTTAGTTACAAGCTCCAGCTTTCATCTTTTCAAAATAGCAAATTATGATGCCATTTCTGTCTGATGCGTACGTCTTTTCAGCCTCTGTCACACCTGCTGGTTATGCACAGATAAAGACAACAAACATCTGCCTCTTTGCTGACTTTCTGCTTCAAATGCTCCAAAATTAACTCCACCATTTTGCCACCTAAATCCCTGCCCATGCTCCCAAACTGCCACGTTTACCCTCTCATCATGTCAGAGGTCGTTTGCGGGACATCACTTTGGTCGTAGCAGGCCTAAAAGCAGCTTGCTTAACTGCAAACTTTCATACCCAATATCTCTGAGATCAAGTGCCCGATGCAACAGAACAATGTATCCATACCTCAAAATACTCATTCAGCAAGGGTTGAGCAGAGGTTCGGGAAGATATGCAACAGTGGTGGTGGTGGTGGTGGTGGGGAAAGTTATAATCTGGTTGCAACTGGTACTACTAGCATACTGGACCTTTATTGGCTAATGAGGAAGAAGACAGAGCAGGTGAAGGATGTCCCTAGTGCAGTGATGTCCATTCTTGATTCCCAGGGTGTCCTTGATGTCCTGTATTTGACCCTTGCCTCCTCTTCCATGACCTACACTGGTCCATTCCCACATTCTTGTCAACTATCAAAGATAACCAACCCACCCTGAAACTCCACCACGGCTGACAGCATTCAGAACAAGCCTATATTAACTCTGTCTCCTTCTTTAACAGCTAGCGACAAGTACTATCCTTCAACAGCAAATCCAGCTGTTTGATAGCATACAGAGAACATCACTGTTTCATCCTTCAACAGCAACTCTAACAGTTTGATAGCATACACAGAACATCACCGTTTCATCCTTCAACAGTAACTCCAACTGTTTGATAGCATACACAGAACATCACCATATCATTCTTCAATAGTAACTCTAACCGTTTGATAGCATACACAGAACATCACCATTTCATCCTCCAACAGCAACTCCAACCTATCCATTAACTTTCAATTTCAACTACATCACCACAAAATCCCATCCACCGGTTGTTTATTGCCACTTCCCACTTTACTGTCCACAGTTCCCTCTAGTGTAGTGTAGGCATACATGAAAGAACAACCACTACGTTATCCAGGCGTGAGGCTCAGTCATCCAGTTCACTTTTAAGACTGCGTTTACTCAGCTTTTTCTTCGGTCCATCTGCAGAAGAAAGCATTCTACCATTAACAACATGTACACAGCTCTACTATCACATCACTTAATTGCTATTTTTGATTATAACATATGGTTGTCCCTGATCAAACAAGATAGAAGTTTCCACTTCTAATTGCAACACAATGTCACTTCTTACCACAGCATGAAGTTGCCATTTATATCAGGTATCAACATGAAGCTGCCACACAGGTGGCGACAAAATGAAGTCATTAGTCAACACAAAATGACATCAATTTTTATCACGCCACGAATTTGCCATATATAGCTTGTGGCAACATGAAGTTGTCACAAAACACAACATGAAGTTTCACACAACACAACTTGTCAAAAAAATGAAATTGTAATTTATCACAACATAAAGCTGCAACATCTGATCACAATATGAAGTTGTCACATAGCTGGTTGCAACAAGAAGTTGTCACTTATCACAATATGAAGTTAAGTTACATAGCTGGTTGCAACAAGAAGTTGTCACTTATCACAATATGAAGTTGTTACATAGCTGGTTACAACAAGAAGTTGTCACTTATCACAATATGAAGTGAACTTACATCACCACAAATTAATGAGGGATACAAACAGACAAAGAGAGACAAATATAATGAGGGACAAAGACAGACTAAGACAAATATAAATACACAGAATATAGGCAAGGTCTATTCATATGTGTATGTGTTTGTAAGCATGTATGTGTGCAATATGGTATCAGTATGTGTTTGTATGTATGTATGTATGCAATATGGTATCAGTATGTGTTTGTATGCATGTATGTATGCAATATGGTATCAGTATGTGTTTGTATGCATGTATGTATGCAATATGGTATCAGTATGTGTTTGTATGCATGTATGTATGCAATATGGTATCAGTATGTATGCAATGTAATATCAGTATGTATGCAATATGGTATCAGTATGTGTTTGTATGCATGTATGTATGCAATATGGTATCAGTATGTGTTTGTATGCATGTATGTATGCAATATGGTATCAGTATGTGTTTGTATGCATGTATGTATGCAATATGGTATCAATATGTATGCAATGTAATATCAGTATGTATGCAATATGGTATCAGTATGTATGTATATATGTTATGCATGCATAAATACTGTGTATGTTCTACATAAAAGGTAAAGGTAAAGTCGAGAGATGTGAACCAGCGTCATTGCACACGGTTATAAACCATAAGTGCTCTGCCACCAGTACGGACAGCTGATAAGAAAATGTCCCCCTGTGTCGCCGTCCGCACGTAACTCCGTAGCTACAGCGATGTTCCTCCATTTACCCCAGAGTGTTAACTCTGGTACATATTTCCTAGAGGCTGGGTGAACCTCGAGAACCGCCCGGTTTGGAACACCGGCCGTGGGCTGCAGCGTGTCGCAGCTGGACTTGGAAGTGAGTCTCCTATCTACTGCACTAATGCGGCACATGTTCTACATGTGTGAGGTGTATGTATGAATTTGTGTATCTTATGTGTGCATGCATAATTATGGTATGAATATATATATAAGCGGTACAAACATTACCGTCAGAGAAATGCTGAGCAGTTTTTCTCCGGAGGTCATCCAAGCTCTCCTCTGCCTCGGCCCACTCCAGCACTAACCGGCGCCCATAAAGATGGGTGGAGTGGCACAGGGCATTAAACGCTCTCTGCAATGGTGGAGTGGGAAAGGAAAAAAGTAATACATTAGATCACATCTTCACAATTTGTATGGGGTGTAAATACATTAGATCACATCTTCACCCATTCTATGGGGTGTAAATACATTAGATCACATCTTCACCCATTCTATGGGGTGTAAATACATTAGATCACATCTTCACCCATTCTATGGGGTGTAAATACATTAGATCACATCTTCACCCATTCTATGGGGTGTAAATACATTAGATCACATCTTCACCCATTCTATGGGGTGTAAATACATTAGATCACATCTTCACCCATTCTATGGGGTGTAAATACATTAGATCACATCTTCACCCATTCTATGGGGTGTAAATACATTAGATCACATCTTCACACTTTGTACCGGGTGTAAATACATTACATAACACCTTTACACTTTATACAGGGTTTAAATACATTAGATTACATCCTGACACTTTATACAGGGTTTAAATACATTAGATTACATCTCCACACTTTATACGGGGTGTAAATACATTAGATCACATCTCCACACTTTATACGGGGTGTAAATACCTTTGATCACACCTCCACACTTTTTACGGGGTTTAAATACATTAGACCACATCTTCACACTTTATACAGGGTTTAAATACATTAGATTACATCTTCACACTTTGTACGGGGTGTAAATACATTAGATTACATACATCTTCACACTTTGTACGGGGTGTAAATACAGGATTAGAAATACTAGCTGAGGTCATCATAATTTTTTTTTTTAAAGGAAGATTAATACTAGATAAGACAATCAGAACTGTGCGTAAATACAGAATGAGAATCAAGTTGAGACAAAACTGTTTAAAAACAAAATAAATGATGAGAAATCACTGTGGAGACAATCAGGACAGTGTGCAAATAAATGATTGATGAGAAATCATTGTTGAAATAATCAGAAGCATGTGTGAATGAAGGATAATAAATCATTGTTGAAATAATCAGAAGCATGTATAAATAAAGGATGAGAAATCATTGCTGAGATAATCAGAATTAGAAAGTAAACAATAAATATTAGAGAATTACTAGCCAAGACAACAAAGAACTGTATAAACAAAAAAAATTAGAAACAGCTGAGATAGTGCTAAAACTGTGTCTGCATCAAGACAGAATCAACAGCAAAGCAAGCATCAGAACTGTGTGAAGCTGAAGTGAGGTTTATAACTGCCCTGCAAACAGGTGACCTCATAATTGCTACTTTCCTGTAGCAGTGACAATCACACAAAATGAGCCTCACTGCCCACTTAAAAACCAGTGAACAATCAGTCTCGGCAAAATCCAGAAACAGGCAGATGCTCACTGAATGTACCAGGCCTCTAAAGTAGCTTAGGCAAAGAAATTGTGGAATCACTTCATTAGCAAACCATGACCAGAAGCACACACAAAAAAGGCGGTACTTTATTAATATACTACCCCTGATGACATCTCAGGACAGTCTACCATTTTAGAGGGTGGTAAGACTAGGTTACCAGCTTTCTGATGCTGTCAACGACCCCAAAACATCTAGAACTGGCCATAACCCCATCCCGCCTACGTCCCACAAGAGAGTGCAGCCTAGGTCCCACGATTGCATGCAGCCTATCTAATACCCCCTGAAATATTACTGTCCCATGACCTGTGGATTTTCCCTGTTTGGGGTAAAATAATAAGCACCAGAAAGGTTTTAAGCAATAATTTTTCCTAAAGAAGCTGAGTGAAAAAATAAGGACTTTTACTGAGTGCACATGAAAAGCTTACTGTATGCCTCCAAAATATAGGATCAGATGGCAAGGATATCTGAATTATTAGTAGCCTATACTGGGAACAAACAGCAAGTCAGAAACAGACTGCCCGCCTATCAGTAATACTGGATAGAAAGCCCTCAGAATTGTGTGTGAGTTCAGGAAGTTCACTTTACCCCATACAAAACTAGCTAAAATATTCAACCAACAATAAAGCTACAATGGATTTAGCAAGAACTTTCTGAGGGTCTATGCTCCACAGGGAGCTGCAAGGCAGAAAAAGAAGGCAGTGCTTACCTTGGCATCCTGTTTAGTCAAGAAGTCCACAAAAGCAAAGCCTCTATGAGGACCGGTCCCGCCAAGCTTCTTGGGCAGACGCACAAACTTCAGCTCTCCAAACACCCTGCAGACATAAACCACATTGAGAGCTCACAGTCACCAACACCCTGCAGACATAAACCACATTGAGAGCTCACACAGTCACTAACACCCTGCAGACATAAACCACATTGAGAGCTCACACAGTCACCAACACCCTGCAGACATAAACCACATTGAGAGCTCACACAGTCACCAACACCCTGCAGACATAAACCACATTGAGAGCTCACACAGTCACCAACACCCTGCAGACATAAACCACATTGAGAGCTCACACAGTCACCAACACCCTGCAGACATAAACCACATTGAGAGCTCACAGTCACCAACACCCTGCAGACATAAACCACATTGAGAGCTCACAGTCACCAACACCCTGCAGACATAAACCACATTGAGAGCTCACACAGTCACCAACATCCTGCAGACATAAACCACATTGACAGCTCACAGTCACCAACACCCTGCAGACATAAACCACATTGAGAGCTCACAGTCACCAACATCCTGCAGACATAAACCACATTGAGAGCTCACACAGTCACCAACATCCTGCAGACATAAACCACATTGAGAGCTCACACAGCCACCAAGATCCTGCAGACATAAACCACATTGACAGCTCACACAGTCCCCAACACCCTGCAGACATAAACCACATTGACAGCTCACACAGTCCCCAACACCCTGCAGACATAAACCACATTGAGAGCTCACACAGTCACCAACACCCTGCAGACATAAACCACATTGACAGCTCACAGTCACCAAGATCCTGTGGTGTTTCTTTGAGGGAGCTAATATTGGTTCAAAGCTAATACACATAAGGATGTTGGCATCTGTGGCTTAGGCGTTGCAAATGCACTCTGTAATGCTGGGTTCCATCCGCCCTGGTTTCAACAGTGGTACCAAGAGCTGACCATTCAGGAAGAAATGGCAAAATACTGAACACAAAAAAATATGTCTAGAAAAACAACAACAGCCAAGAAATGCTGGGGGTTAGTTGTGCAATGTCTTGTAAAGAATAAGCAACTAACATAATGAGTTTTTATGGACAATGTCACATCTTTTATAGAAGAAAATATGCTTCAGAGCTGAAGAAAAACTCTCAAATTCTATGGACCAAAAACAAATGATGAACCTCAAATAAAACTGGCTCATAAAAGCACTCTGTCTCAAACATTGAAATATGTTCGCCATATCAAATGTCCTGATGGATTGGAATGAACAGTTGGGAGGGTATGATATCCAGCAAGAGGGCCAGGGGTAGAAGAAAAGATGGGTACAGTTCATAAGAGAAATCTCAGGCAGGAGACTGCATGAGGCAGGAGAACTGGTGAGGGACTGATGTTTTTTTTTTTCAGGGATGATGTAATGGGAGTGACGTTCTGGTAAGGACCTGCTACCTGATGATGATGAGCTGATTATACAGTTGATCTGATTTGATTTGATTCAAGAACTGACATCACAGCACTCGGGGCATTCCCATAAGCGCTCTGTCCCCATCTTCAGCAGCAAGTGAAGAGTTCCAATACTAATGGTGCCAGTAGCATTAAATGTCTGTCTTGCCTTTCCTCTGAGCCTCGAGTTCTGCCAGAACCTCTTGTCACTCCCCCCTGCATTAATCTCACCAGACTGTGGTGATCCATCTGCTCCTCCAAACTGTACACGCTCTCCCACAAGACACTAACCATGTCTGCCTTATCATGCATCAGTATTCCCCCAAGTTGTGCAGAGCCAGTCTGTCCGCCTGTTCATTTCCCAGTCTGTCCGCCTGTTCATTTCCCAGTCTGTCCATTTCCCAGTCTGTCCACCTGTTCATTTCCCAGTCTGTCTGCATGTTCATTTCCCAGTCTGTCCGCCTGTTCATTTCCCAGTCTGTCCGCCTGTTCATTTCCCAGTCTGTCCGCCTGTTCAGTTCCCAGTCTGTCCGCCTGTTCATTTCCCAGTCTGTCCGCCTGTTCAGTTCCCAGTCTGTCCGCCTGTTCATTTCCCAGTCTGTCCGCCTGTTCATTTCCCAGTCTGTCCGCCTGTTCATTTCCCAGTCTGTCTGCCTGTTCATACAGTTGTACCGCCCAAGTCTCCTCTTGTAAAAAAAAAAAAGGAAGAACAGGTAGTGAGCAACAGAGATGGTCACCCCACCTCATCATGTTTTTAATCTAGTCTTCTGTGTTCTTCAACTTTTTTTTTACAGTCACGGACCTGAAATATTGGGGGGAAATGTGTCGCAGATCACCTGAGAGCTAACCACAAACATGGCCACAAATGTAGATAACAGTTTATTTGTTAAATCGACATCCCAGAATTAAATTTAAGCTGCCGCAATATTACATTTTCCGTAACTGTGCCTATAATTCTGGTGTTAAACTGTTGCATTGTCTCACTTATTATGATGCATTAAGAGTCAGAGAATCATGACGGACTATCAGTTGAAGAACACTGATCTAGTCTCCTTAAAAGCCCGACAGCTCTCTCTTTCTCTCTCACACACACACACACACACATATGCTCACCCAGCTAAAAGGAACACAAAAGATAGTGAACAAAAGAAGTGGGCCACTCACCTCATAATTTGGTCTATCTGTGAAAGTCTATTATTTCTCTCTCTCTCTTTTGCTTGCACGACCTGGACAGAGAGAAGGTGGTGACAGACAGAAATGATCATTTCACCACACACTGCCATGACCAGGTTGACGTGAAAGTCTCTCTCTCACACACAAATACATACCCATAACTGAACCACTCTAAGTGACCCACTCTAAGTGAACCACTCTAAGTGGACTGTCTCATGTTCCATCTCCTACTGCCAACGGCATATAACATAAACCTCTTCACATGTGGCACTTACTTGAACAACTCCTCAATCTCTCGCTTCTTAGCCTCAAACGGAATGTTCCGGACCAGGATCTTGGTAGACTTCTGTTTTGTTTCCCCTTGTTTCTGGCGACCTTTAACCTCACTGCAAAACAGTGTGAAAGAATGTGTAATTAACATACATGCCAAATTCAAGGACACAGCATCAAATACATAACAGTGTCGTGTAAACCCATGTAGTATGTGGCAAAAAGAACAGAATGACGACAATAGTTGACTACATACGTTCATTAACTGGTATCAGTGCAGAAAGGATTTATATGGTATGGTAAGTTAAGTAAAGGACCCTTTTCCATACCTTTAGGCGTATAGGGTATATAGGGCAAGACCTATATTTTATAGACCAATTGGCATAAGAGGGTGATGAGGCCAGCACCACGCCAGCCGCCTTTACTTTCCAGGATTGCATTTGGTACCATATGGTATGGTAGCATGATTAAATGTGGAGGTTAGAGAGACTAAACAAATTCTTAGCAGGCTGCAGACTCTGCCGGAAAGTTCTGGTTATTCATCCATCTCTAGACTTTGGTCTTGTTCCAGACCTTTAATTATTTGTATGCAGACTGTTGGTTTCTCGCCTCTCAGGCAGACACATTCGGACTTTGAAAGAAACACCAGTAATTAATCAACTTGATGATATGCTTGTTAGGGAGCAGTGGGTGAATCTCCCCGACCCCGGTCAATGGGCCCGTAATCCACAAGGGGAAAGTAATTTGAAAATTAGGAAAATATGTTGCTAGCCAGAACACAATAAGAGTACATAGTAAACTATAACACAACGAGAGTACATAGTGAACTATAATGTCCTTGCAATGGAATTAAGGAAGGATTACCGAGAGATGTGAAAAAGATTGGAAAAACATGTGACACAAACAAGTTGGTAAGAGATAAGAGTGCTCTGTCTGTTTTTATTTTGAACTTAGACTCTAGTGGGTTTGGAACACGATAGGGCCAACGGAGAACACATAAGCTCAAAAGCAAACTCCAGAGAATGTCTGACAGACTTGACCAGACTTTGCCAGTCAGAAAGAAGAAATCTGGCCCTGCAAAACAAACTGGCATATGGATGCAGACATCATCAAGCAGATCATTCTGTTTATAACACATGGCAAAACAGAAGCATTGTGAAGGATCGCTAAAGAAGACGGGGAGAGGTTCCAGTAGAGGATAAAGGAAGAAGAAAAAAACGTCACACTAGAATATTTCAGTGGAATTTATGTACTTGTGTGTTAAAACAATCATTTTTTCTCTTCTCTTTTGCCTTTCACCTTCCTAGCTACAAGCTGTTTCTCTATAAACCTTGAATCTCTTTTAAGAAATAGGGTAGCCAGCCCGAACAGCAACCCTTATATCCTCACTTCTTCTTCACATTCACCACCTGTAAACTCACATCGGAAAGTTCTGGTTGTTCATCCACTTCTGCATGTTAGTTTTTTTCCAGAACGTAAGTTTTTCATGCAGATCGATTTACAAATCTGGCTTATTTGTGTGCAGACTGTTAGTTCCTTGCCTCTCAGGCAGATACACTCGGTCTCAGAAAAAAACACCCAATTAGTTGGCTTCTACAACATGCATATGGGAGGGGCAGTGGGTCTATTCTTGTTGTTATCTCCCATGAGGAAGTTGCCTCATATGACACACTACAAGGTGCAGTGTTACTGCTCTTTGCTCCTCCAAAAAACTTGGTTACACATGGATGACAATAGTATTTACGTAAGTTTTAAATAAATAAAGACAGTGTGCATGACAGTGTGTGACAGAAAAAGGGCATGGGTAAAGGTAAAGCTAAAGTCGGGAGATGTGAACCAGCATCATTGCACATGGTTATAAACCATAAGTGCTCTGCCATCAGAACGGACAGCTGAAAAGAAACTGTCCGCCTGTGTCACCGTCCGCACGCAACTCTGTAGCTACGGCGACGCTCCTCCATTTACCCCAGAGTGTTAACTTTGATACCCATTACCCAGAGGATGGGTGAACCCCAGGAACCGCCCGGTTTCTTACACTGGCTGTGGGCTGCAGCGAGTCACAGCTGGATTTGAAAGCGAGTCTCACATCGACTGCGCTAACCCGGCCCTAAAAGTGTGGGTGAGGAAAAACAGTTTAACAGCCAGTGAGAGTAAAGGAATGTGTGTATAAGACAACACACACACACAGAGAGAGAGAGAGAGAGAGAGAGAGAGAGAGAGAGAGAGAGAGAGAGAGAGAGAGAGAGACATACAGAGAGAGAGAGAGGGGGTGCAAGAGAAAGCATGTGAGACCATGAAAGAAAGAAAGAATGAGACAGAAAGTGAGAGAGCTGGAGAGAGAACAAAGAAAACATTCTTACTGCTTGGTTCTATTTGACATCTTCAGTTCCAAGTTATGCCCATCCAGCTCCGAGTTCTGCAGATTCTTCAACGCCTCCTTGGCATCAGCTTTCTTCATAAACTGAACAAACCCATACCCCATGGACAACAGCTGACCTTCAGGCAGGGAAAGAACCAAAAAAAAACATACATTAATATTATGTAAGGCCAGGGAAAATGTTACTGCATTTTCCAAACACAGACTGCGCTGAAGAATTTCCCAAACTACAGGCAGGTCATCCAGTACTCAAGAATTTGGCAGTCCATAATATCCTCAGGTACTGAAGAATTTCCCTCAAAACAGGCAGTGAGATCATCAGGTAGTGAAGAATTTCCCCCAAAACAGGCAGTGAGATCATCAGGTACTGAAGAATTTCCCCCAAAACAGGCAGTGAGATCATCAGGTACTGAAGAATTTCCCCCAAAACAGGCAGTGAGATCATCAGGTATTGAAGAATTTCCCAACCCCAAACAGGTCATCACATTCTGGGGAATTTCTGCAAACTATGATAAGCAGGTTTGTTGTTTGTTTGTTTGAGTATCCAGAAGCCATGAGTTGTTAACCCTTAGGCTCGGTATTATGGATATCGCAACCTTTCGGCCTTGATTCCATTGTAAATACCGTAAATCTGGGAGAAAAATGTGGCTTTCCTGCCTACCCCCGGGATTGAACCCGGACCACAAGGAGTACATCACCCGGTCTCCGCGTAATCCGGTTTAGCCAATTCCGCTAGAGAGCCGGGCGATAAGCAGGTTTTAAAGTTTACAGTTAAGAAGTAAAAAAAAGGTGTTTAAATTAACAATTGCTGGGAAAGAGAAAATGTCTAAATCTACAGCTTACAGGGACATGGAAAAGTTTCTAAGTTAAAAACTTACTTGGACCGTAACAGTTTTCAAGTTAACAATTTACTCGGACTTGAACCAATACACTTGACTGCATTTATTCTTATTGAGATTGCAAAGTTAACAATGCAGATGAATATGTTTATACATTAACATTATATGTCAAGCAGTCTAGGATTTTTAACAAGGACATCCAAGAAAAACCATAAAATGAACATTCATGAGAGAGACCAATGGAGCTGGACTGGATTCCATCCATATCCACACAGAATGTAATAAAGGAATACACTACAAGCGCTACGTACATATAATAGCACAGAATGATGATTGACGATGAATGAAGAATTTTGAAATCCTACCTGGCGTCTTGGGATCCTTTTTCTTGGCCACTGTTGCAGAATGAATCTGGCCAAACTTACTGAAGTGCTGTGAAGTGTACGAGTGATAGTGTTATGTCTATGTAACTGACAGGTTTTTGCAACAATAAAATAACCAATTCTCAGTTATGAAATATCAGTCTGATTATCCTCACAGCACTTAAGACATATCCATGGTTGTTCGACCCCCCCCCCCCCCCCCCCTTCCTCCGCACAATAACACTGATAAGATTTATCATATATCTGATGCATACTTCATGCCTGACTGTGTCAGCAGTCACTCGCAAATCTATCAATTCTTAGGAGTAATGTGAAGGTAATGCATCTAAAGTATTTCAACCGACCTCTCTTGCCTTATGGTATTGACAATCCTGGCAGGATTCGTACGCTGACCATACACATCTAAAGCAGTACTGGCCAACCTATCAGCTTTTTCCCTGCTGTCACAGCCTGCCTGCATCAGGACAAAGATGAAGGTGACTCCAGGAAAGGTGGACTTGCCATAAACACACAAATCTCCCCACAGGGATTTTAAGGTGTTCTCAAATTATATTACAATGGAACTAAACCCTTTCAGTCCAGTGACTTATAAAAAAAAGTCAAGATCCCACAACTTCAATTTTTTTAACACACCTAGATAAAAATCCTTAGAAAAATATATAATCCAAAACGTGAATAGTATTGTAAGGGAAGTAATAAACAAAAATGAACCAGGCAGAGAATCAACTCACATCTCTTGGGGGTCAATGTGTCAAAGTTAACATTGGCATGGTTTTAAACACACCAACATCCATTGTACGTCTGTGTTCAGAGAGCATGGAGAGAACCCGTTCAATGAAGTATTTAGGAGCGTGTTTCCATCACAGTCTTGCTTATAATGAGCATGTTAGCCACGTGATAATGAAGGTTTTACAGTGCTAAGGATTATGGGTATGTCCTTTTATCTTTCTATGAGTGTCGATCTCTTTGTTAATTATATATATATGAGGATTATGGATGCGACAAACTGACAATAAGGGCGCCCATACTGGCAACACCCACCAGTTATAACCTGCAGTCCTGTGTGGGTAAGGACACAATGAATGCGGTATTACTTTAAAAAAAAAAAACATCCACTGCTGAGACTAAATGAAGTACTTGAGGATCATGAAATTGTTATACACATTCACTAACCTCTGAGCCTCACAGAACTAATTAAACACAGAAAAGGTCAGAAATACCTGAAGCAGCTGCTCGTCCGTGCTTGCAAAATTCAAGTTCTTCACAAAAATGGTGGCTTCTTCCTCAGGTTCAGTATCTGAACCAGCATTCTAGAAATAAAAAAATCAGTTGTATGAGCTCAAAAAAGTTTACAGTGTTTCCGTACAAAGTGGCAAAGCATGACAATTCCCAGCCAAGTGATGTGATTATCTATACAGATGGCTCTGTGTTGAGGGGCAGACAGATCATTACAGTCTAAGAAGAATGGCGCTGTGAGGAGTTACCAGGGGATCTAGCGACGCTCAACACTCAGGGGAAGAATGAGACGGATATACAATCAGACGGTTACTGGTACCATAGGAATTGGAACTCTCCGCTTGCTGCTGAAGATGGGCACTGAGCACTTATGGGAATTCCCGAGTGCTGTTATGTCGATTCCTAATTCAACATTCAAGGGGGAAAAAAGACATGAAAACTTGGTTACAAATGACAAGAATAACAGAAAAAGACCAGGGTGAAAGCAAAGACCTGACCATAAGAAATGGATGGGATGAGAGAAATCACCCCAAGCATGATTTTGGTCGTCAGATGAGAGTGCGAATTAGGACCAGCTAAGCTTATTGACAAGTCAAATGATGACATGATTCACCGCACTCTAATGTTCAAAGTGTGAAACATCTTCATCGCGTTCACCGGCTGTAAGCTCTGACAGAAAGTTCTAGCTGTCTACTGGACTTCTGCCTTCTTCCAGAATTTGAATTCTGTGTGCAAATCCATTCTAAATCCGCTTGCTGCTGAAGATGGGCACTGAGCACTTATGGGAATTCCCGAGTGCTGTTATGTCGATTCCTAATTCAACATTCAAGGGGGAAAAAAGACATGAAAACTTGGTTACAAATGACAAGAATAACAGAAAAAGACCAGGGTGAAAGCAAAGACCTGACCATAAGAAATGGATGGGATGAGAGAAATCACCCCAAGCATGATTTTGGTCGTCAGATGAGAGTGCGAATTAGGACCAGCTAAGCTTATTGACAAGTCAAATGATGACATGATTCACCGCACTCTAATGTTCAAAGTGTGAAACATCTTCATCGCGTTCACCGGCTGTAAGCTCTGACAGAAAGTTCTAGCTGTCTACTGGACTTCTGCCTTCTTCCAGAATTTGAATTCTGTGTGCAAATCCATTCTACATACCTGGCTTACTTGTGTGCAGGCTGTTGGTTCTTCGCCTCTCATGCAGATGCGCTCAGACTTTGGAAAAAGTGTAAAAAAATAATATGGAAAGCAAAATTATGTTTACAAATGCAGACACAGATATTTAAAAAAATTTATTAGTTACATGTATAATATGATTTTGTTTGTGTTTTTGAAAGACGTTTTTTTCCTCCGGAAATTCCTACAGGATCACAACGCATTTTTTTTTTTTTAGCATTCCCGGGTTAGACCTTTTCTATCCACATTCGCCGCCTTGTACTTACCAGTTTTGTATTACTCCAAACAAACCAATATTACTTTTTGCAAATCTGACTGACTTACTTGTTCCCCAGAGTTCTCCTTGTTGCCAGACTTGCTCTCAGCATCCGCATCTTTGTCCTCCTCCTGTGCATCCTCCTCAGTTTGACTATCCTGAGACTTGGCTGGTCTGGTAAACACTCCCATTGGAGCCCACTCTAAGTAAAGAGGGATGGACTGAAACTGGAGAAAACAGATATTGATAACTCTTGAAAACATGGAATCTTTCTCCAACTACATACAGATGTATGGAGGGTCTCTATTGCAAGTGGTCAAGTTCTCGGTTACATGTTCTGGGTCCAATACTTTCAGAGACCCTTAGGGACTGATGCTAGCGCTGTGGAGTTTGATCTTTGTGATACCCTTGGCAGATGGTCATGATTTCTGCTGAGGCTGAATCAGGGAGGATATAACACATGTAATAAAGTCAATTGGAAAAAATAATAGCAGAGGGCATGGTACTAGGAAGGAGGGGCAGGGGCCGACCAACATGAAGATGGGCACAGGATATAAGTGATTGCTTGAGTATGAAAGTACATGAGGCAGGAGAGCTGGCGAGGGACTGAGTTTCTTTCAGGTAGACCGTGATAAGAGTGACTTTCTGCAAAAGACATGCTACATGATGAATGAAGTCGACTATAACATTTGTTATACATCCTAGTGTCATCATAAATGACACACAATGCCACATCACTCAAAATTATTGTGACCCCCTTTGTATATGTCAATCCATCATAAATCCAGCTCTGCAACCTATTCACATTTACATGCAAACACCATACTTTCCCAGGATCCTAGGGGCAGTGTGTTCAGCCTTTTCAGATAAGCCTTCATCTTTAGCATTCCGAGCCCCTGAAGTTCACTGCTGCCCATGACTGATCCACATAAGGTACACTTCTCTGTCACGGGACATTACCAACAAGCAGCAGAGATTGCATCGGACAAGCAGCAGACAAGCTAGAAAACTAACAGAAACAAAACCCTTCTGCTAGTTTTGCCACTGTCTGATGCCCACAGTGGTCACTCACATTTTAGTTTAGACCGGCTTGTCTGTCCTGTCAGTATGTCATAGGCACACACATTTCACATGTTTTAACCTTTTCTAATCTTGTATGGTCTTAGTTTGAGCTGCTGGTGGGTAGGGAGGAATGGTGATTACAACAACAAAATGCCCTCCTAAAGCTTCTCTGTAAATGATTTTTCATTCCAGCTGGTGACTCCAAGTGTAGGTCTGTCTGTATATATATAAATTTTCTCCTGTCTTTTGAGCTGCCCCATGGTCCACTCCCATTCTATAGTTTTGTCTCTGCCACATGCCCCAACCAATGCAGTTTTGTCTCTGCCACACGCCCCAACCAATGCAGTTTTGTCTCTGCCGCACGCCCCAACTAATATGCAGTTTTGTCTCTGCCACATACCCCATTCAATATGCAGTTTTGTCTCTGTCACATGCCCCATTCAATATGCAGTTGTCTCTGCCACATGCCCCAACCAATATGCAGTTTTGTCTCTGTCACATGCCCCAACCAATATGCAGTTTTGTCTCTGTCACATGCCCCAACCAATATGCAGTTTTGTCTCTGCCACATGCCCCAACCAATATGCAGTTGTCTCTGCCACATGCCCCAACCAATATGCAGTTTTGTCTCTGTCACATGCCCCAACCAATATGCAGTTTTGTCTCTGTCACATGCCCCAAACAATATGCAGTTTTGTCTCTGTCACATGCCCCAACCAATATGCAGTTTTGTCTCTGTCACATGCCCCAACCAATAGGCAGTTTTGTCTCTGCCACATGCCCCAACCAATGTGCAGTTTTGTCTCTGTCACATGCCCCAACCAATATGCAGTTTTGTCTCTGCCACATGTCCCAACCAATATGCAGTTTTGTCTCTGCCACATGTCCCAACCAATGTGCTGTTTTGTCTCTGCCACATGCCCCAACCAATGTGCAGTTTTGTCTCTGTCACATGCCCCAACCAATATGCAGTTTTGTCTCTGTCACATGCCCCAACCAATATGCAGTTTTGTCTCTGTCACATGCCCCATTCAATAGGCAGTTTTGTCTCTGCCACACGCCCCAACCAATGTGCAGTTTTGTCTCTGCCACATGCCCCAACCAATGTGCAGTTTTGTCTCTGTCACATGCCCCTTTCAATAGGCAGTTGTCTCTGTCACATGCCCCATTCAATAGGCAGTTTTGTCTCTGTCACATGCCCCAACCAATATGCAGTTTTGTCTGTCACATGCCCCAACCAATATGCATTTTTGTCTCTGTCACATGCCCCAACCAATATGCAGTTTTGTCTCTGTCACATGCCCCATTCAATAGGCAGTTATGTCTCTGTCACATGCCCCAAACAATATGCAGTTTTGTCTCTGTCACATGCCCCATTCAATAGGCAGTTTTGTCTCTGCCACATGCCCCAACCAATACGCAGTTTTGTCTCTACCGCACGCCCCAACCAATATGCAGTTTTGTCTCTGCCACATGCCCCAACCAATGCAGTTTTGTCTCTGTCACATGCCCCAACCAATATAACCTATTAGCCCTAATGTCAGTAATCAGTGGCAGTTTTAAAAGATTATGAATGTCCTTGTTGCTTCTCCCTCTCTATTCTTCACTTTGTCATCACTGACATGTACAAAGAATTGTGTGACTCTTCTCATAAGTTTGTGATACAGCTTTTTTCATCCCATGTCAGATTTCTCCGGGTTTCACAGCCATATATTACAATGAGATAAAGCATTAACTTCTTCTTCTGCTGTTCTATACTCCCGAAATGCCTCACAGCTTCAGGGCAGGAAGAGATCTCTGGAATTGGCCTCTCTATTCGCTTCATATAAAGTACTTGTCATTGTCTCTGATATTTCTGAGGTCCATATTCTGTGTGGTCGACCTCTGGTTCCGTTACTGCTGTATCTGTATGACACTGCTCTCTGTGGTGCTCTGTCTTATGCCAATCTGGTTACATGGCCAAACCATTTGATTTGTTGACAAAATATTTACATTTTTAAAAACTAAAAACAAAAACAAGGTTGGGGTATTGAGATGACATTACCTTTGAGAAATTAAGCTTGAGAAAAGCTTGTCTGGCTTCAGATGGCTCAAAGAACTCCACTATGGCTGTGATACCAGACGGAGGCATCAGGACTCGGTTGACAGAGCCATGCTTGCTGAATACTTCCTTCAGCTCATCCAGGACAACACCTGCTGGCAAGTTCTTGACCAGAATCACTGTCTTGCTTCTCTCCCCTGCTGCCTGAGCAGAGAGGAAAGAATAAGGAATATATATATATCAATTTGGTGCTGTCTGCAAATGTATCTCCTTCACACTGTAGCTCTCACCAAACTGGCAGTATAGAGAACTGTTAGTCCATAAACTTCCCACTTGTATCACCACCTACCTCTTGCTCACATGTTGTCAAATTTTCTTTACAGTACATCTTTTGTTTTTACAAACAGAATAAATTCTACATTTGTTCCACATCTTGACTACTGCCAGTTCCAAGCCTTGATGAAAAAAGGGGGACTGAACATAAGGCCACCACTCCGCCTCGAATAACAAAAATCTGCTACAAAAACCAGCAAATAAAGGCAACCATTCTGACCACAGAACTAGTCAAGCATTGTGCACTGTATAGATACTTGTACGACAGTTGCTGATGGGGAAATAAGAGAAATGCATCGGCACCAACAAGATGGTGATACACGAGGGACAGGCAGGAAGATAGAGCCAGGCAAAGAATAATAAAACAGACAGTGAAATGGGAAACAAATGGACTGATCAATTAGGGGCTTTCAAGAAAACCCCCACAATGATCACTGAGGAGACTGGATTCCATACAAGATATTGAAAGAACCATTAGAAAGGAATATAACAGACAAATCGACTGTGAGCCGTGTGCAATGTGTAAATGACATGAAAAGGATGATGATGTTAGCTTTTTTCGATCTCAGAAATCTATCTGATTAAACCAATATCTCATAGTTATTGATTTAACGTCTAATATAAGAAGGAAAAAAAAATATGCCGCTGATCAAACGGTTAATAATGATGGGCTCTCATGCGAGAGACTAGGGTTCGAATCCTCTTAAGTCTGTGGCATTTAATTATTTTTTTTCTGTCGGGGGAAAAAATAAAATCCTAATCTGCAGCCTGTGGCGACAGGCAGCACTGGCAGTTGTTTTTTTTTTTTTTAAATTAAATAAAAAGTGGCCAACCCTCTTTTTGTCTCTTCAATAACTATGGAGACCCCCTGTACTCCAGACATTTAGACAAAAGGTGTCACTGTTTAGGACACAGATAGTTGAGGAATGTATGTTATGTTTGCTATAGCTGGTGAACACATACAATTCTGGCACAAAAATAATTAGGGTTTGGGTTACATCACTGGAAAAATCTGGCAAGATTAATTGCTGTATGACATATGAGAAATAAAACTTATTTACAACTGGTAAATTGACTGGATTCAAAAGATAAATATCTGGATGGCTTAGCCACATGGCACAGACCTTATCCATGATTCTAGTGATTATATAAGATGGCAAACCAGGAATGTCAATGCTTGTTGCCATATGAGATAATAATATATGATAAAACACTAAGTAACAATAAAGTGATATGGACCGATAATTGAACAACCATAAAATCAACTGTTTTACCTCCCCATGAGGGCTCTGGGGCCCCACTGCCCCCCCAACAAGCAGGACAACTAATTGGGGGCTTCCTTCGGATTCAGAGTACATCTGCCTGAAAGGCGAGGAACCAAGAGTCTGTATAGAAATGAGCCAGATGTGCGAAATGGATGTGCATGGAACACTCAGGTTCCGGAAAAAAGACTAAAGTTCAGAGGTGGATGAACACCCAGAATATTCGGCAGATGTTTACAGCTGGAGAAAGCAAAGAAGAAGAAAAAAACTGTGTTACCAACAATTACTTTTAGCAAACTTAACAATGCTCACCTGGCTGAAACTGTCCAATGCTACACCGTTTGAAATGAGGAACTCTCTAGTCTCTGAGACAATTTGTGTCTCTCCAAGAGCTATCCTCACACCCAAACTGCCCCGTGATTCCTGGCAACAGAAGAATATATCATGTAAGATTCAGAAATGGACATAAAACATATTTTGGCCTGGGACAAGTGTATTGTATGTTTGTCTGTAAACTTATAAAATCTTCCTATAGTTTGTTGTCATGCATTTCAACAGCCTTCTGTCTTAAGTACTTTCAATCATTTGTAAGACAGACAATCTTCCATGTCATTATGTTCAAATGACCAGCATCTTCCCTATTAGTCTCCTTCTGCTTTGCTTCTTGTCCAACTGTCTCGCTGTCAAGCTTCTGCCTTCTCTTGATGTGACTAAAGAATGTACAGTCAGTTTTTTTCTCATGTGGGTTATCAGTTCCCCTTCTTGCATATATTTTCATTACTCCTGTTATCTGTCCATAGTACTGTGATTTGTCTATAAAACCATACCTATTTTTTTACGTTAACTGGCTGACTGTCAATATTTTACTTCTACATATCAGGACGGGAGCCACATCAACCAGAATAGAATGGGAGTTGTTAGCCTAAAAACACTTGGGAACAAACTCGGGAGGAGATCGAAACACTTAGGGTCTTGTCTGATGATCTCAAAAAATAAACAATGATTCCGTACAGCTCTTGAGAACTCTTTTTCTCACCTAAATTGATACAGATCGCATTGAATATTATTCCCAGCCACACGCTTGCTGGGGAACATTCTAGAGTTCAATACTTTGCATCTGCTGTTACCTGGGTACCCAGTTACCTATACATACCTACTGCTGCAGATGTGTCCAATATTTTAAATGTTGTATTTGGAGGGCATTTTATTGTAACTGCCTTTACTTCTGCCTGTGATCTACCAAAAAACATGTGTGCCTAGGACCTATTGAAAAACATGTGAAACATCTGTGCCTGTGACCGACTGAAAAACATGTAAAATGTGTGTGTCTGTGACCTACTGAAAAACATGTGCCTACAAACTACTGATAGGACAGCCCGTCTACAACTAAAATATCAGTGACCAATGAGGACATCAGACAGTGGCAACGCTAGCAAAAGAGTTTGCCACTGTGATCTGTCTAGCTTGTCTACTGCTTTCCCAGTGCAATCTCTGCTGCTTGTTAGCAATGCACCAGGACAAAGAAGTGTACCCTATATGGATCAATCTTAGGCAGCAAATGATTATACATCTCTCTTCTTGTGGAGGTACTAGCTTACTCAGTAGTCCAGTACTGCATGCAATAAGACAGACATATTCTCAAAACCCACAACTTTAGAATGAATGCTTTCTGCAATTCTAACATTGATTAATTATAACTTCTTTAGTATAATCATTAACAAGCATGAGGCAGACCTTCGAAAATAAAGTCATATTAACTGGAAATCACTGATAAAAAATAAATAAGATACAACAAATCAAAAATAAAACAGGTTCTCAGGTCTTAACAAGAAATCACTGATAATGAAATAAATGTGATACAACAAAGACACAAAATTACTTACATCATCCAGAATATTGCTCTTGTCTGTGTGGTATTTGCTGGCCATGGCATCAACGACTGCATTGACTCCCAGGAACAAAGTGTTCCAGTTGTGAGCACTAATTGCAAGAGAATGCAGAGTGTGAAAGCAACAAGATAAAAGTGAGCACCTTAAAAGCATGTATCATGTACACAAATGGAAACTGGGCTTTTAGGTCCACACAGCCCGAAATGGGTACCAGAAATATTCTGGGAAGCAAAGGTGGTTGTCCTTGTGATAATGAATACAGCACACAGTGGACACCGATAGGCAGTGGCCTCAGATATGTCATTCACAGAATCTGCTCCAAGACTTGTTTATTAACATTAGGGTTAGCAGCCAAATTCGCCAATTTGTTTCAAGAGTTTTTTTCAAGGTATTTTTGGCTTGCTCAGGGTTGAACCGGGCACATGTTGTACTTCATGTGCACAGACACACATATGAGCAGTGGTATTAAACAATTTTTTTTTTAAAGTTACATTAAACAGATGTATGTTGTTGTTATCGATCCAGCAGCGCATGAGCTTTCGCCCTGTGGCTCAATGCCATGTAGTGGAATTTGCACGTTTTCACAAGCTGTTCTTTTCCTCCGTACAAGGTGTTCCACCTGTCTGGTCTCGGAGGGAGTAGCATTCTTCTTGTCTCACTGAGTTCTGGGCACTCAAAGAGATGGTGTTCAACAGTTTCGTAGGAGTAGTTACATAGCTGGTACTCTGAAGGAGTGTTGTGGCTGTATTCTGTTTAGATGTCCATTGAGTGGAGTATGTTGCGTTCTAAGTCTGAAGATGGTGGCCTGGTCCCTTCTTGTTAGATGGTTAATGCTGTCATTAGGATCAGGGCCAGCCATATGTCTATAAACCTCTCTTCCAGTGTCTCCCATGGCCCATCTGTTCAATCAAGTCTCTTTGTTTATAGCTCTTATCAGTGTTTTTGCTGTCTGGAGGGTTGTCGCTGTAGGTGGTTGTTCTTGTGTGGCTCCTTTCTTTGCCAATCTGTCAGCTCTGTCATTACATGGTGTGCTGGAGTGGCCTGGAATCCACTGCATCACTACTCTGATGTTGTATGAGGTAATAAGCTGATCAGCATCCAGGATTATCTTGGCTTTGTCAGTTCTGCAGCGTTTACTGCCCTCCAGAGCTTGAGAGGCAGACACTGAATCTGTGAAGATGACAATATTTTGGGCCTTTGAAGAGTAAACATCCATTACAGTCTTTAGGTGCCCGGCTCTCTAGCGTAATTGGCTAAACCGGATTGCGCGGAGACCGGGTGACAAACTCCTTGTGGTCCGGGTTCAATCCCAAGGGTAGGCAGGAAAGCCACATTTTCTCCCAGATTTACGGTATTTACAATGGAATCAGGGCCAAAAGGTTGCGATATCCATAATACCGAGCCTAAGGGTTAACAACTCATGGCTTCTGGATACTAAAACAAACAAACAAACAGTCTTTAGGTGGTATACTGCTGTTTCCAGTACAATTATTTCGGCTTCATAATTTAAACAGAATTCCTTATGTAGATTCCGTAACCTGCTTTAATGGTAGCTTTAAATGCAGATCCATCAGTATAAACATGTATCCATTCTTGGGGGTAAGAATCAACGGTCTTTAGTGATGAGTTCATAAGAGCGATTGGGTCAGACTGTTTGGTTTCCTCGCCTACCAATTTAATTAGGACTTTTGGAGCTTTAAAGTGAGCATGTGGTGGTAGGTTTCTTGCAACATTCTGAATGCCTTGACGTCTTTCTGGGAGGTTGTATCTGTCCTGAATTTCATTAACACAGTGTAAAACCGATTTGTGCTTTATTCTTTGTTTGTATTCCCAGTTTTCTACAAGGTGTCTATTAGGATGGTTACGATTCTTTCTAACGCATCTTTCATAAATTTCTAAAGTGGCCTTTTCTCTCCGCAACCCGAGGGGTTCCACATTTGTAAGGATTTCACATGCAGCAGTTGGTGTAGACTGCATAGCTCTGTAGATTAATCGGAGGGCATTGTTTTGTACTCTGTCAAGACTCTTTAGGTTAGTTTTGGAGCAGGTTGTAAGCAATGAGTTGTACTCTATCACAGAGCGAACATATCCTAGATATAAGCCCCTCAGAGTTTCCTTGTCTGATCCCCATGATGTACCTGCAAGCCTCTTTAATAACTGTAACCGCCTCAATGCCTTATTCCTTACGTTTTCAATATGGTTCTTGAGGCTGAGCTGCCGGTCAAGTGTGACTCCAAGGTGACTCACTTGGTGTTTGTCTAACCTCTGGTTAATATTCTTCCTTGCTACTTGATGGCTTTTGGTAAAGACTGTGTAGACCATCTTTGCACAGTTAACCTTGAGTTTCCATCTTTGGCAGTACTCATGCAGTCTTACACAGATGTATAAACAATGAATAGTCCAAAGTACAAACATAAAGAAAGAAGACCATGCATTTCCCTGCACAAACATAAAAGAAAGTTACACATAAACAGATATTACATCTATGAACAATGTACATTCTACACACAAACACAGAAGATATTGCAAAGAAGCAGTAAACACAACACAATTCCCTAAATAACCCAAAAATCTGCTAAATAATCAGTTAACAGATACACAAACACTAAAGTGGAATATGTAATAAATTCAAAGCTAGCAGTAAACAATTAAACACACAAAAATTAAACATGTAACAATTTCAAAGCTGGCAGAATAACCGAAAATCTCCTTGCAAAGTCAGCAGACAATGTCCTTGACCTATTCTGAATTACCTTGAACTGTTTGCTTTCTGCTGCAGGGTTTTCTTCTTTTTATAAGATGATTTCTCTGTTGGAGAAACCAAAAACAAAATAACATTAGTAACTTTAAAAAAGTAACTCATATATTAATATTTAAGAACTTTAAAAATATTTAGCAAGTGACTTCATCCAAAAAAAAAAAAAGTCCAGCAGTCATAGCGTCTAGCTCCCAGGTCAACCCAGCCTTGATTGGGTACTGGGTGCAGTCTCGGGAAGTAAAGGCGGCCGGCGTGATGCTGATCACCCATCTTGTGCCGATTAGTCTATACAAATATATGCCTAGCCTTATACGCCTAAAGGCATGGAAAGGGGATTTTTACTTTACTTAAAGTCCCACGGTAAACAAACACACCTTGTGAAACATTCTGAGCTCTTCCTTGCCGGGCGGGTGACAGAGTTTTTTAGTTTACAGCCAGGCTGTGATATCTGCACCTTCCAGACCTGAGCAAACCTTAAATTAGTCTTCTGTTATGACATGCTTGCTAACAGGCAGGTAGCCATATAGCGTACTGACCGGAACTAACATCAGAACTTTCTTTTCAGCCAGAGTTTACGGCTGTTAAACAAGAAAAGAGAGAGAGATGAGAAACAGCAAATGGGTAGATGTGGAAAATACTGACTTAGATCCCAGATGGACTCAACCAAACACAGAAACCAGGAATGTCCTGGGAAGTAAAGGCACCATCACCCATTGACGACTGGCACGGTATTAGTCAAAGAGTCCTTTACTGTACTCGTTAAAAGACAGTGGTTCTATTCCCCCTCCCTCCCACCCAAGGACTGCAGGGAACCCACACCATGAAATCATCTTTACATTATTTCACAAAGGAAACTACAAATACACCAACCATTAGAGTTTTCAGTTGTGTTGCTCTCTTTCCCTGGTAATATATGTAGCAGGCGGCCATGCAGACTAGTATAATCCAGTTCAGTGAAAGCTTTGAGGGCATGTTCCGGAAACACAAACACAACATGGGCATATCCCTTGACTTTCTTGGTAAGTGAATCAACAGGAAGGTTCACTTCTGCCAATGGACCTACAGGGTAAGAGTCAAGGCAATGGCAACAGATTAGACACAGCATAATAAAAAGTGTTAAAAGTCTATGTTTTAGCACCAGTAAGGAGATCAAAATTAAAATTTCAAGAGCATGCATCTTCCCTGTAGCAACATACGGATGTGAGCCGTGGTCTTTCTCCCAGTCCTTAAGAAAGAAAATAGGGGCTTTTAAGCTCAAATGCCTTAGAAAGACTCGCAGAATACCACTGACAAAGAAGAGAGGAAATACTGACATTTTTAAGACGTGAACATCAAGGAAGACTGGCTAATAAACAGCATCTTGTCTCTGAAGCTGAAATATTTAGGTCATACAAGCGCCATGGAGTGCTGAAAAAAATAACAGCAGAATGCATGGCAACAGGAAGGAGCGGAAGGGGCTGACCAACACAAAGATGCGTACAGGATATAAGCGACTCCTTGAATAGTACACGAGGCGGGAGAGCTGGCGAGAACCGAGTTTCATTCAGGCAGACCGTGATGAGAGCAACCTTCTGCAAAGGTCCTACTACATGGTGATGACGATAATAAAAAGGCAAAGATAATGTAATAAATAAAACACATTTTGTAAATGTCAGGTGCCACAGTATAACTGTTTATACAGTTGAACAGGGTGTCTGGAATTTGTTCATGTTCTTCATCAGAAGAGTGGCTCTTTGAGTCAATGGATGAGCTTTCAGGCTGCAATAGTGGAGAAAAAACAAAATTTTTAAAGTAAAAGGAACAAACCATATGCGTGAAAATGTGTGCAACTATGAGTGTGTCAATGTATGCTTCTATGCATGTGTTTTTCTAAAACCTTTGCTTGTTTATTAGTCACTGTTTTAGTTGTTCATGTTTCTACTGATTTCTTCTTCCTCACATTCATCAGCTGTAAAACTGGCGGGAAGTTCTAGTTATTCATCCACCCACAGACTTGTCTTGCTCCAGAACTTGAGTGTTGTGTGCACATCTGTTTTACAGATCTGGCATATCTTTAGGCAGACTGTTGATTCTTTGCCTCTCAGGCAGAGGCAATCTGGCTTCGAAAGAAGACCATAATTAGTTGACTTATATGACATGCTTGTTGGGGGAGGCAGTCGGTCTATTCCTGTTTTCCCCACATCTGGGCCCTGAAACCCAAACGGGTAGTTTCTACTGATTAATGTTAGAAATCGCTTAAAATAAAAAAAAATCTTCCACAAAATTCCTAGTGCTATAAGAACTTTTCTTGGCTTTTGTTCTCAAATTTTTTTATTTGTTCCATCATTATCTTCACTACTGCCTGAATGAATCTTTCCCACTGAAACCATGAATGTAGATGGCCTGAATGAATTTCCCACTGAAACCATGAATGTAGATGGCCTGAATGAATCTTTCCCACTGAAACCTTGAATGTAGATGGCTTGAATGAGAGCAGACCATGAAGGATGTGGAGAAATAATATATACAGGCAGATGAATAGAGGCAGGTGATATATGCAGTAATGAACCTCAAGGGCTTGGAATGCTGCAGAAAACAGTAATATAATATTTGTTGCTAAGGTTCTAACATGGATCTTCCATTGTGAACGTATAAAAACATCCACTCACCGTATTTGCCAAATATTGCCTCCAGCTCCTCTTCGGTGACACCAAACCAGAGATTGCGGACAAAGAGACGTCCTGACTGAGAATAACAGAAAAATACAACATATATTTAATGCAATCAGTTTTAAAAAACATAATATTAGTACCGCAGCCAATGAATAAGGTGCTAGAAGAGAAAACAATTGCACGTAAAATTTGCTGTCTCCTCAAGGTCACTAACAATACGAGAAGAGACAGGGTTACGAATACCAGCATTCAAGAGAAAGTTGGAATAAAACTATGTCTGGATTATATTGACAGACAAAGAATGAAATGGTTCTGCTGTCGAGTGAGAATGCAGCCAGACCAGACTGCACATGAGACTTTTTACAGCAGAACACGTGGGAGGAAGGCGAGAGAAGACCAAGAAAGAGATGAATAAATGGTATAGCTGAAACCTGCAGAAAATATGAACAAATCCATCCAAAAAGCCACATGAGAAGTGCAAGACAAATACAGAAAAACCTGACACTGGGTAACAACCTGGTGTCAGTGAGACGACAAAACCATGACACTGGGTAACAACCTGGTGTCAGTGAGACGACAAAAAAAGAAGAAGTACCATAGCATTACATGTGATTAGGTCACCAGTTACTACTGACTGTCTGATTAGCTCCCTTCACCTTAGTCACCCGAACCCAATGGACTGTGAAGAGGCAGATAGATCTTGTTACACATCCATACCACCCCAGTGTGTTCTTTTCACTGCTGAAAGATTAATGGTTGCCAATTATATGGGTATAAATATCGAGTTAACAGAGTGTCACTTGTGATGTCCATGGCATGACACAAGACTTAAAAATCTCTCTGCTTTGTCTTCGTCTCTCTCTCTTTCTACAAGTGTTCCAATTCCTCTTCTTATCACATGGCAACTCACACAGTATATGATGGCAGTCAACTTCTGATGTTTGTTACACGTTGTCTTCAGGCCTTTCCCTCTTTCACATGGGCACATCACTTTTACATAAATTTAAAACTGTAATTACCAAGGCTTGCAGGAATTTGTGCTAGCTAATTAGAATTAGAAGCTGAGAAAAACTGACATCTTAAAAGATCTGAAATTCAAGGAAGATTGGCTAATAAACAGCATCCTTTCTCGAAAGCTGAAATATTTTGGTCATATCAAGGGCCATGATGGATTGGAAAAAACTATAGCAGAAGACATGGTACCAGGAAGGAGGGGCAGGGGCTGACCGACACAAAGATGGGCACAGGATATAACTTGAGTGTGAAAAGTTCATGAGGCGGGAGAATTGGCGAGAGACCAAGTTTCTTTCAGGCAGACTGTGATGAAAGCGACGTTCTGCAAAGGACCTGCTACATGATGATGAATTAACTTCTGGTTTACTCCTGTCCAATGCGAAACACTGATTTATTCAGTGTGAACCTGCTGCTGTTCACAAGTGGGACGAAAACATCAAGGGGATGAACAGCAGCCTTAGAAAGTGTAATCTTGGGTGAAAGACAGGATCATGTGGGAAATTCATTGCAACCAACCTTCACTGTGAAGACAGCACCTGAAAGACTGAACACAGATACATGATTTAGATTCCGGTTCTGTTATACAACTCAAATTTTGTTGTTGCAAGTTTTTAACGCACAATGAAACAATTTGAAACCACCACCAGTCGTACTACTGACCTCAGCGATACTCTCCACTTCTTGCTTGCCTGGCTCCTTTGCCTATAGAAAAGATATAATCCTCACATTATAACAGTCAAACATTTAAGATACAATCCTTAAATTATAACATGGTCAAATGTATCAGATACAATCATTAAATTATAACATGGTCAAATGTATCAGATACAATCCTTACAATACAACACGGTCAAATGTATCAAATACAATCCTTACATTATAACATAGTCAAATGTATCAGCCACAATCTTCACATTATAACAGTCAAATTAATCAGATACAATCCTCACATTATAAAACAGTCAAATGTTTCAGATACAATCTTCACATTATAAAAGTAGTCAAATGTATCAGAGACAATCCGTACATTATAACAGTCAAATCTATCACGTTATAACCTAGTCAAATGTTACTAATGCAATCCTTAATAAAATATTAAAATGTATTAGATACAATCCTCACATTATAACAGTCAAATCTATCACATTATAACAGTCAAGCCTATCACATTATTACAGTCAAATGTTACTAATATTGCGCGGTGACAGGGTGACGAACTCCTTGACGTCCGGGTTCCCTCCCGGGGGTAGGCAGAAAAGCCACATTTCTCCCAGATTTACGGTATTTACAATGGAATCAAGGCCGAAAGGTTGCGATATCCATAATGCCGAGCCTAAGGGTTAACAACTTATGGCTTCTGGATACTAAAACAAACAAACATCACATTATAATAGTCAAAATCTATGACGTTATAATAGTCAAATCTATGACATTATAATAGTCAAATCTATGACATTATAATAGTCAAATCTATCACATTATAACAGTCAAATGTTACTAATGCAATCCTTAAAAATATAATCAAATGTATTAGATACAATACTCACGTTATAATATATTCAAATGGATAAGATGCATAAAATATTCAGATGTAAAATTTAAAGATGAAACAAACACAGATGTTCTGAAGAGACAGGCAAGAAAGGAGAAGTGCTGAAAAAAAAAGAGAAACTACATGTTTCAGCCACACTAAAAGATAACTATAATAAAAACATTGCTTGAGGAAAAGGGTAAAGGAAATGGAGCAAGAGACAGACAGCAGTTTCAGAACGTGATAACAGCATGTAGGATACGGTACCTGAATTTTTTATTGCTATCAAGCCAGGGTCAAAAGACAATCTTTTGTTCCTTGTATTTCTTGTTTAATACCTCCTATGTTCAAAAGTTATGTTTTTTAAACTGTCTTCTTCTTCTTTTCGTTTTCTACGCTAGTCGTTTCCAGACAAGAAGGCCACAAGCCTCCATGGGGGTTGTGTTCCCCCAACTGATCTAGACATCTTGAGGTTCCACCAGAATGCAAACTAACCAGGTCTTGGCTCTCCTCCTCTCTGGAGAGCACATGTTCAGTATTCTATGGTGTCTCTCCGCAACAGCACAAGTTCCAAATCCTTGAAAGCTGTTTTCTAAACTGAGTTTATCAAATGTTTTTTTTTCTATGGCATATCCGCCCCCCCCCCCCCTTTTTCTTCTTATAATCTATGCTACTTGACTTTAGTAACAATGACTGTCCACAATCTTCTGTCTCATGTACTGTTAGTCACTTCTGATACAAATATTATTCCAGCTAAGGATGCCAAACTGTCTAGCTGATAGAAACAAATTAACCCAATTCCCAAAAAGACTGCACAATTTACTGCCTGGCATATTTCACTGTATCTCGTCAGGTGCATACTACAGTAACAATTACATAAATGAGGCAAAGTGAGTGAATCCTTATAATTAAGGTACAAATTTCATAACAATCAAACCCAACTGCCAGGTTTATCAGGGCACCGCAGTGTCAGAATCATATCTTTTTTATTTATAGAGTTCAGGCCAGAGATAAATCATGGCGGCTTTAAGAAATCTTAGCGTTCTGCCATTGTCTGCAGTGTGAAGGATCTGGAATGCACTGATCAGATGAAAGAAAAATAGTAGTATTCAAAGACCAGTATACAGGAAAGACACTTTTACAAGCCAGTACATGAATTTCCAGAAAGCAATGGCAAACTACTGGACGTAAATTTGCCTAGAAAAACCACACAACAGCCTGGGGCTGTTGGGGTTGGTTCTGCAATGTCCTGTATAAAAGATACACAACTAACCAGTTAACATGAATTTTAACAGTTTTGCACTCATCCAGAACAAAAGTGGCAGACAGTCGACATTATTTAACGGCGTTAGAAAGATTTGTTTCAGTTTCTCAAGCAAACATTATTATCTAGTATGAACCTGACGAGATACAACCAAAATTGCCTGGCAATAAATTGTCCAATCTATCATTTGTGTCTTTTCTTATTAAGAAACACATTAGATGACAGAATGCTACTGCCCCATGTTTATACTGTCATGTTACCATGTTCATCTGCACTGCGACGTCATGTATTAACAACAATGCTGACAGGTTACAAGAGAAAGGTATGATTGTTGTAATTTCTACCTCACTTATAAGGTTATCATTTAAAGACCACTGTACTTCTATGTGCACTTCCAAATGAATGAAGGCTTCTGAAGCAGACAATAATTCTTCCCTATCCACCTTGTTTAATAACATCCAGGCATGCCTACCTTCAGAGTCCAAGGAGCCGGAGTCACTTTCTTCTCTGTGGGTGTTTCATCTGCTGATTTCTTCAAAAATATTTTTTTGCCATCTGGAATTCACAAAAATAAGCAGGGATGTTAAAACTCAGGTACCTGAAACCAGCGGTTCTCAACCTGTGGGTTGCGACTCCTTTCACAGGGGTCACCTAAGACCATCGGAAAATACCTATTCACTGAAGTTATGTGTAGCCACGAAGATTAATTTTATGGATTGGGGGGGGGGGGGGGGGGGGGAATCACCACAAAACGAGAAACTTTACTAAAGGGTTGCAGCATTAGGAAGGTTGAGAACCACTGCTCTAAACCAATTGCTTTTAATATTTTTCAAGTGTTTTCATGTGGAAACCCCCCCCCCCCCCCTCCAACATATAATGAAATGCATGTTTTTCATTTTAATTAAATTCTTTAAAGGTATATTTACAAACTGCTCATAAACACACACACAAAAAAACTTCTCGACTATTTGATTTATAAATAGTTTCTACAAATATCTGATTTATCATTACACTAAAAAAATGTTAGCAAAAATGCACCCAATTTCAAAATTTCGCTTGATGCTCGTCCGTGAAACTTCTCCAGGCTCAAACCCTTACTGTAAACAATACTATAGGTCATCTATTAAGAATATTTCAAGTAACGACCAGACCACGACATCTTCTTCTGCCCTTCATCAAAGCAGAGATTTTTTCCCCAGCTGGGTAGACTAGTACACGATTTGCTAGATAATGCAGCCGGTCTTCTTTGGAAAGCTAGTTGCATGCCAACCATACTTAGCCTCTTAGGACATGCATGGTGGTTTACAACTTCCCCATTCGTTGCTTCCATTATGGTACACTGGCAAATGTTCTGTTCATATCAGATATAAAATGTCTACACAAACTGAATTTATATACAGGATTATTCTTCTGTGCTCAACATCAGCCATGCTAAACATTCAGTCTTATAGGTCATCAACAGGGTGGTGTGGAGGGCCCTCACGATTTCTCTTGTGATGCAGCTCCATTGGGCCAGAGCCACAACCTTTGCCGGGAACAGTCAGGACAATCCTTCAGCGCATCCTCCACAATCACAGGCCCATTCTCTGTAGGTGTACTTCTTGACTGTAGTGACTGGCCTGAAGCCAAAAAAATGGATGTATGTTCTATATACAGGATGAGGTAGACAGTCTCATCCCCTCACCCCTAGTTGTCTTCATCGCCAGTTTGCACTTCTGCTGTTGAAGCGTTGTGGGTGTGGGAGAGTTTGAGATCCACTACTAGAAGTATAGCACTGTACTTCTGTGTAAAATGTCTTTAATGCTCTCAACCCATCTTCCCACAGGCGCCCTCTTACGTACACACTAGATCTTCACAGGTGTAGCACCTCTGTTGACAGCTGTGGCCACCAGTCTAACAAGACGACCAAATCATCTGATCTGTTTCTCAATGTATATTTTGCGCTGTCTTGTTCTCATGGCTTGTCTTAGTTTATCATGATTCAGATGGTTAGGCTGTCCTCGGGTATCTCATCTCAAATGAGTCAACTTTAGGCAGGTTATATTACAAGCGGGTTATAGTCACTATTCTTTGCCTAATGTAAGAAGATTCTTTACAGCTTTGTGTCATGGCACAGGAGAGTTTAATGTCAGCGCACAAAATGATACACACTGCTTAATATCGCAAGTCTCTAAGGCACTTGATTCTTTGTTTCTCAACCTAAGAAACAAATCTAAAGTGTATTCACAGTTCTGGGGATACATGAACAGTGTGTCACCGAGGCCCTCACAGGAAGCAAAAGAATAGTGACACTACACCCTATCAGGCATGCCGTAAGAGGCGACTAAGGGTAGGGTTGGGCTACCTCATCCTATAAAAACAATAGCCACAAAACCCAGCCAATCATGATGAGGGAAGGCTCTTTAAGTAGAAGAAGTGTGACAAGGTGTGGAGAAAGCCGAAAGGAGTCCGGATAGTTGACTTACCTCCTCTCACCTAGGAAAACCTCCAGAATTGGCACCTGTATTGAATAAAGCAAGGCCAAAAAACACATGGAGAAGGGAGCTGGAGAATGAAGTTAGAAAGATGGAGGGGACATGAGGGAGAGCTGCCTGCGATAGCAAAGGATGTAATGACTTGGCGTGAGTTGGTTGAGGGCCTATGCTCCATTGGGGGCTAGAAAGACAGAAGAAAAATGAACACACAGTGCTCATTTGTTTAGCTGTGAGTGGATTTGGCTGGGTTAGTAAGATACTGATGTTCACATGCAAACATAATTTTAAAATCTGCAGAGTATGGAACAATGAACAATGGGGAGCTGATGTGGTATCATCACTGTACTTGCCTGCCCAGATGTCATGTGTATCAGAGGTACTTACATTTACAAGATCTTCATATAAACAATATGTTCACTTACATACAAATATTCACGGGCACAATAAAGCATTCTTCATGACATGCTTGATATACACAAGACATTCTTCATGTAAGCAAGATATTCTTTATATATGCAAGATGTTTTGCATACACACAAGACATTCTTTAAACAAACAATACATTCTTCACGTGCGCAAGATGTATTTCTAATACAAGCGATGTTCATCTACACATACAAATATAATAGTAAAAATCCTCACTGATGAAGTTCTTGTTTCTCCCCATGGCCTGTTCTTGTTCTTTCTGTGAGGGCAAGTCAACAAAAGCCACTCCTGTGAAAAAAAAGACAGAATAAGTTCAAAAAATTCCTGTGTTGGTGCAGAGAACCCTATTTACTTTTACCCTACCAGGGCATCACTAAACAATAAACAGCCAGTGACACAAAGCCGATGAGGATCACCCGTGGAGAGGTCCTGGAAACATCATTCAACTTATAATACGGCTTCTGGCAAAAAGCCAGGATGGTAGGTCAAAATAACATAAAATTGCATTACAAAAGGGGGATAATGAAGTTCTGTAGCTGGGTATGTATGTATATAGGCTGTACCCCACCAGGACATCACACAAGCGATAAACACCCGATGACATGAGGTGCCACCATGCAGATTAGGATCACCATGGAGAGGTCCCAGAAACCGCGTTCAGCCATTAGGCCAAATTTATGGCTGGGCTATATAGCGGCTTCTGGCATGAGCCAGAGTAGGGCTTCAAATAACTAAAAATTGCATCCTGAAAATGATGGCAGTGTTATTACTGAGTTATATCAGGGGCCCGGCAACAGCCAGGGTTTGTCAGATTGCCACACCGTCATTTAAGTTTTACAAATCGTAAATGTTTAGCTGAATAATGTGAAGACAAGGTATTTTCCAAAACAGGTGTTGGAATACAATGCATTGTGACCATAAAGTATAGAAAAAAAAATATGCTCAATTTGCTATTTTAAAAAAGAGCATTAGCATCAATTCAATCCAGCGCCCTATTATAGGGAAAAGAATAGACCCAGAGCCTACCCAAAAGCATGCTGTAAGAGTCGACTAATTGGGAGCTTCCTTTGAAGTTGGAGTGCATCTGCCTGAGAGGCAAGGAACCAGCAGTCTGCACACAAATGAGTAAGATCTGTAAAACGGATGCACATGCAACACTCAGGTTAAGGAACAGGACTGCAGTCCAGAAGTGGATGAACAACCAGAACTTTCCAGAATTTACAGCTGGTGACTACAAAGAAGAAGAATTCAAATTTGTTAAAAAGATTTAATAGTTTATTTCCCTTAAAGAAGTGATTCACATAAATATTTTAGTCACTGGTTATATAAACTTTTGTAGACTGAAAATGACCACCAAGAAGCATACAATGTCACAATATTTTTACACCACACTGCACTGTCATTCACAAGGCACGGGTGTGCAAAATTTCAGCATTATGGCTAATCAGGGCATAGTATAAAAATCAAACACAAACAGCTGCCCAGATGAACACAATCCAAAACCAAATGAGATCAAGACCAGAAACGTCACCACAAATATAGCAGACAGGAAAGAGAGCAGAAATGTGATCTGACCTAGCTGAAAGTGTTCAACGTAAGAGAATAAGAAATTAGCTGCCCAGACAAACACTTTTAAACTAAAGAAAACTAAAAAAAAAAAAAAAAAAAAAAAAAAAAAAAAAAAAAAAAAAAAAAAAAAAAAACACTCTCTGGGTTTTTGTGCGATGGTATGAATTAGACCATGGAAGAGACTAAGGCCTCATCAAGGAATGTTCCTGAGGGCAGCAGTTGGTTCTGTAAATTACCTTCATCGTGGAGGCTGCAGAAAATTTATCTTAACACCTCTAGATTTTAATATCATTCTCACCGGGAAGGCTAACTCAAAGAATGCTTGATGTGACTGTCAAAATGTACACAGATCACAGCAATGCTTTAACAAGCACAATACCAATTACGTCACTTAGATGAAAGATTAAGAAGAAGAAATTACTCTCATGCTGCTGAAAAATGTTGAATTATGAATCGACATCACAGAATCCAGGACACCCCCATAAGTGCTCCATCCACATCTTCAGCAGCAAGCAGAGTTCCAATTCCAATGGCACTAGTAACTGTCTGATTTATCTCCATCTTGCCTTTCCTTTGAGCGTCGGCCATATCCCCTGGTAACTCCTTGCAGCGCCATTTTCCTCAGACTGTAATGACCTGTGCCTCCACACTGTTCACTCGTTCCCAAAGGACTTACAACATCTAGTTTTTCATACATCAATCCACCACCAAGCGGTGCAGAACCAGCTAGTCTACCTGACTACTCATTTCCCAACACACTGTCATAACCTGGAGAAAATATCAAAAAAAATGCCAACTACCCACGACCTCTGAAGTGATGCTTGCCACTCTGCACAGAGCATGCCTGTCTTCACCTTTCTCAACATGCTCTGTGAGACAGTTACAATTCATGGTAAGTTGTGATTCTCAAGCCAGCGGAAGGTAGTAGTAACTGCCCCGCCTCCAATTTAAAACTAGACTGTGTGATATCATATGCCGTTGAAGACATATTTAGAGGAAATAGTCATAAGAAGACCACGGAGCGATAATATGCAGGCAGACTTGCAAACCCTTTGAGCCACCAACTGGAAAGAGAGGACTAATCACAGAGATGAATGGACACAGGAGAAATCTGAGGCAATGAACCTCAAGGGTTCGAAATGCTGTAGAAGATGACGAATATGCTCTCTAAATTTTTTATTAACAAATAAAACAAAGACATACCTATGGGTTTTTTCTGTGCATTTTTAGGAATCCTGATACTTGTCAGTTTAATTGGTTTGAAGAAGTCTCGAATTGTTTTCTGGGACACAAAAACAAAACATTAGTTTTGCTAGAATTCACAATCTTAAAATGATATTAATGTGTGTCTACCCCCAAAGTTTATATACACACATAAACATACATACAAATACACATCACTGGCACTGTATTAAAAGCTGCTTAAGTGCTAAATCACAGTTTTGAGAAAATCATGTTTGAACACAGATCTCTCTGAACAATACAATGACAGTGTGTAGTCACATGGAAAGTAATAGTTTTGCCCTAACTGGAGTAGGAATTCACATCTGCCTCTGGCATCATGTAAAGCGACAAATAACAACTGTTAAAAGTGCACTCAGATGACTTTGACCTAACAGAAAGGACCCATTTCCACATTCTTGGTGTTTTGCCGGGTATGTAGTGCTAAATAACATTGAGTGAGTGATGTGGTCTATCTAAACCAACTAGGTCTCCTTTACTTTCCATGACTTTACCTTTGGCAGCCAAGGTTATGTAAGAGAAAAAAAAAAATCCGGCCACCTTAGACTAAGCTCTTTGTTGAAATTGTATGTGCTGGGTCAAATGGCACAGATATTGCAGCGTATTATAATGCCCTTCCCTTGAGAGTCTGCCAGATCTGCTGGCAACTCCCCACAGCGTCATTCTCCTCAGACTGTAGTGATCTATTTGTGCTTCTGCACTGTTCAATCACTCCCAAAGGGCCCTCACATCTAGCCTGTCTCTCTCCAGATAATTGTATACATAATTTATTTCAGAGTTTCTGCATTTTAACATGACACCTACAAGGTGAAGGCTGTAACTGCTCTTCCTTTAACCAGTAAGTATGATGCATATATCTGGCTGTGATTGTATAATCACTGTTACACTTCAGCTGGGTGCTTTCAGTAATTAAATCAATATGATTCCTAATATGCTTATTAATAAAATATTCCTAGTAAATTAGTGAAAACTTATTTGGAAGCTGCGAGGATTTGTTTTTATATAGATGAATGATGAGAACACCCTGGACAGACAAAAAGAGTAATGGAGACGTCTTGAAAGAAACTGACTCACAAAGATAACTGATTTCACACATCAGAAAGAAACAATCTACAATCTTTGGTCATGTGATGAGAAGGAGTAAACTGGAGTGCATCGTGACACCAGGAAAGTTGGAGGGGAGGAGAGGCAGAGGGAGACATGCCAGACAGTCTGACAGGATCAGTTCAATCACTGATAGATACACTAGATGCCTCCCTGTACTTTCCTCAATTCTCAAATATTCAAAAGTTGTAGTGCCAGCAGACTCAAATAAACCAGACAGACTGGGCTCAGACTGGTCAAATTACCCATGCATAAACCCATTCTGAGTCAGAGATTCTGACAATAATAGAGTTTAAACTGCAAAGTGGTAAATGCAAGAACTAAGGCAAAGGGGCTGGGGAAAAAAAGGAAAAATAATGTGGACTGATATTAAAATATCTTGGGCTTCAACAAGCACTCAGCGATTTTGCTTGTCAGCCTCAATGTCTTAAAAGGCAAAAGAAAAAAAAAGATGATATTAAAAGATCTACCTCTGTATAAAATCCTGACAGTCCTTTTATTTTGATAGAAAATGCTGTCTTCTGTGTCTTAGGCTCAGTTTCTTCTTTTGTGCTTTTCTGGCAAGAGAAAAGAAAACATGTAAATATGCATAAAACAGAATTATCCATTTATAAACCCTTAGATGGATATACTGTCTAAGGCTTTCCCTGAGGAGAAGGCAATGAACACGCAGATTCTTTAGCTGTAAAAGCAACAGCGGAAGAATCACTCATAATAGAAATTTAGACATTTTGAAGGCCGCATATAAACAAATTCTGGTATTAGAGTGTGGCAGAAGAAACAAGATGTTTAAGTTTGTGAGTATTTGGAGTTAAGTAATAGCTATAAGAAATAAAGAGTTCACTATGATTGTATTAACAATGGCATAATGACGACACATAGATTGGCTTTTAATACAGAAACGAGACATCCACCAACAAAACAACCTCTCTGACTGCAACAATGGTGTACGGCATCAATGGTTTAGTAATCACTGGCAAACATCTGACCATAAAACTGCCTAACAAAAAATAAAAACAGACAACAAATGCAAGGGTCAGTTTGCGATGTGCTACAGTGTTTTTTTTTAGCTGGTGGGCCGGGCAAATGTCCTGTTGGTCTATCAAAAACTTCTGCCTAACCATGTTGTTGCTACATAATTCTGGCAGTGATGGACAGATGTTTAACTTCTAATCAGCAGCAGATATCATAGTACATGAAAACTAATTTTTTGACACAAGATTTAGGACCTAAACTGTAGTTTACTGTCTCGTATCTGCCAGGTGGCCTATGGAAAAATGTCCAGTTTTGCCGGTCTGCGGTAGGGAAAAAGTTGAAGAACACTGCGGTAAACAGCTGCTGTATCAAGCTATAAAAGTATTTAACACCTTTTCATTTGTCTTGGCTGCAGCTTCAGTATCAGCAGCTGCTTTCTTTCCAGCCTGATTCTTGTGTGAGTACTTGCTCCAGGCCTTGACTTGTGTACTACCTACATCTGCAGCAATGTCAACCTGGGACAAACAAAATGCAAAACAAAAGTGAAACTAATCATAATTTATGACAAGCTACACAAACTGGGTGTTTGGGGGGTGCTTAGACAATACAAGGAATTTTGACAGTACAGGGGAAACTGAGGTCTAGGAACTGCAAGTAACTTCAACAGTGCAGTGGCTAGATACTTTGCCTACTGGCCGAAAAAGACCTTTCTGCAGCAGCTGTAGAAAAAAATGAATGCTTAAGCTAATGGTAAAAGAAAATGATGATAAAGATGATTGTATATGTGTTAGTTGAGTTGAGACATCACAGCACTCGGGGCATTCCCATGCCTGCTCTGGCCTTATCTTCAGCAGCCAGCGCAGAGTTCCAGTACTGATGGTACAGATCACAATATGGTTATGTGTCCGTCTTTCCTTTCCTCTGGTTACACCCAGGTGCTTCATTCTCTCCAGGTCGTAATAATCTTGTTTCTCTACTGATTCTGTTGCTTGTTCTCAAAGGGCCTTGACCGCATGTGCCTTGTCATGTATCTATTTACTACCCAGTGGTGCAGATCTGGCCAATCTGTCTGCCTGTTCATTATCCAATTTGCCAGCATGGCCTGGAGAAAAGATCTAAAGTATGCTCACTACCTGTAACCTTTCCAGTGAAGCTTGCCACTCTGCTCGAAGCATCCCTGTCTTCACCTTTCTCAGCGTGCTTTCAGAGTCTGTTACAATTACAACGTGTATGCAACTTGTTTTTTAGCCACCGGACAGCTGCAGTTACAACCTCCACCTACATTCTCATGGTAGATGTTGTGATGTCTTGCACTCAAGATTAATTGTGTTAATGACAGTGTTATAAAAACAATGTCAAAACAGACAAATACTGTGTTAAAAGGCTGCATGTGGTGATTCTCCTAAGCGAGCCCTCCCAAACAATACAAGTTAGCTGGGCAATATGAGTCCCTTGGAATATTCCAGGTAAAGTAAAGGACCCTTGTACGTGCTATTTAGGTGTACTGGGTATAAAGGTTAAAGTCAAGTGTACCGACTTAATTTTTCACAGAGTCGTATCCCATATGGCCAGGTCTCCCTGCAAACCAGCTAGGCCGCCTGCTCAAAGCATCACACAACACACAAACAGCGTAGCTCTGGAGACGATCTCCAGAGGTATCCATAAAACTGTACTCATGAACCGAACATAATCCCCGGGGTATCCATAAAAACTGTACTCATGAACCGAACATAATCCCCGGGGTATCCATAAAAACTGTACTCATGAACCGAACGGCAGTCATTAAGTGAACCCACGATCTTCAGAATGGCTTGACCACTTGGCCACAGACAGCCCGGGCATACTGGGTATAAACCGCCTGACCTATAATTGATAGAACAATCACGATGCAGTAGGGTTGTGTGGTCAACACTGCGCCAGTTGCCATAACTTCCCTGGAATATTCCCCGTGACAATTTGTGTATTCTTATTTACCTTATCCTCAAAATTAATAATTTGATAATGATTGCTGGGGACCCCAAAACTTGCAGGCTTTGTACATCCTCTACCATACCTGAATCTTTGTAGTCCTGATGAATGATCCATGTAGCTTCTTCTGTACTGAGGCTGCCGCTTCGGCGGTGTTGAACCCAACAAATGCAAATCGTCTGAAGATTCCATCTTGTGTATACTTCAAGTTGCAGTCAGTTATATCAGCACTGGGACAGTGCTTTTTTATATGTCCTACAAGATTATCATTTGTGATCTGTGAAATTTAGGGGGAAAAAGATGGGAAAGTGCGGTCAGTGCAACATAAAACTGTTCTGTTACTTAACAAGTAACAAGCCTTGAAGCATTTATTTAAAATGGCAAACCTAAATAGATCATTCTAACATTTCTAGTAAGTTACTAAGTACAATATAATTAACAGTTCAAGTGAGTTATATTTTCACACTCAGGATATTTTGCGGCCGCCATCTTTACCGCCCGTTATTTGGAGGATAGCCCTCATTCATTCATTAGCATGTCCCTCGCGGAACCTCGCTGCCATAACCCTCCGGAAAACCTTCCTATCCTGAGCAAGATGTCCTGCGTCTGATACACCCATCTGGAGATCATCTGCCACATCCTGCACCCATCTTCTCCTTGGCCTTCCTCTTCCTCTCTTCCCAGGCATATACCTCTCCATTATTGTTCTCTCTAGACTTCCATGACGTTTCAAGTGACCAAAATATTTCAATTTTCTTTGTTTTATTGTCTTTACTAGCCAACCCTCTTCAATATTCAGCTCTTGAAGTATGGATGCATTTGTTCTTTTCTTTACCCAAGATATTCTTAGAACCTTGTCTGTAACATTTATATTCAAATGCATTTATGCGCTGTTCCGCTTGTTTAGTAAGTGTCAGGTCTCACAGGCGTATGTTGCAATGGGAAAGATGCATGCTCTTAAAAATCTGACCTTTGTAGTTCTATCTGTACAATTCCATAATTTATTCAGTTGTTTTAGTCTTTTGAAGAGCAATTGATAGTCGCCGTTTAATTTCTTTCATTGTGTCACCATTGTTGGTAACCAGTGACCCAAGATATTCGAAATTTTCCACCACTTCCAATCTTTTCCCTCATTAACATATATTTCCTTCTCCATGGCAGTTTTTGTTTGTATGCATTATCTTTGTTTTTGCTATGTTAAGAAATAAGTTATGATTTTCACTATTTCTTTGGAGTGAGGTTAATAAGTTTTCTAAACCATTTTGTGATGTTGATAGTAATACTGTATCATCAGCATAACGAATTTCTGGTATTTCATGACCACCGATGTTTAGGGCATCATATTGTTCCTTGTTTATATAATCTCTTACATTTCTCATTATATTTTCGGCGTACAGGTTGAACAAATACGGTGACAGCACACATCCCTGACGGACTCCTTGCTTGATGCCATCCATGTCTCTCTATCTATTCTGACTGCTGCTTGTTGGTCTTGATAAAGCATTTTAATGAGCTGCACTATATGTGATGGAAAGCCCATATTCCTCATGATTTCCCAAAGCTTCTGATGTTGTACACAGTCAAATGCTTTTGAATAATCCACAAAACATAAGAACAGATTTACATTAAATTCTCTACACTTCTCTATTATTAAACGCATGTTGAATATATGATCTCTTGTTCCTCTTCCCTGTCTAAATCCAGCCTGAGCTACATTAATCTCTTCTTCCATTTTCTTATGCAGTCTTCTCATTATAATTTTTAGTAGAATTTTACTTGCATGACTGATCAGGGCAATAGTTCGATAGTTTGTACATAATTTCAGGTAGGATAGCCCTACTTTATTATTATATCATGTTCTTTGGCTGGTCTCTTCTCTCTTGCTTACTCTTGCCTTCCTTCGGTTTTATTCTGTTGATGGGGGAGGAAGAAAGTGGCGGTGGCTAATGGAACAAACAAGCAAGCCCTTTCCTCCTTTACCACTTCACGGTGGACAGACACAACATCGATCGACAACTGTTGGTTGTGTTGTCAACAGAGGTTTCGAAAAGCATCCGCTATGGGCTATGGCTATGGCTGTACTAAAGTACTATAATTAAATAAATATATATATAATATATATATTCAAAACAAGTGTTACTAATTACTAGCTTCTTTAAAAAAAATGTACAATTTATTGAATATGTAAACTTCAATGTAAAATGGTAAGAACAACTTACATCTTTCGGTAAATTTCTCACAATAACTCGAGACATCGTTGAAATTCTAAAAACAAGTGTCCTTACAGTTCACACGCAGTCAGTCGCCATGCTAATCCACAATAATAGTACTTCCGTTTGCAACAGTTCTAGCAGTTAAGTTTTCATCGTAGTATTATATATTCGTTTTTAAAATATTTGTATTTTATTTTTTCAAGGCGTGTCCACTTGCAATCGTTTTAACTGCTCAAAGCTGACAGGAAGAAAGAAAAGCAGCAACAACGACGACAACAATAGCAACAGTAACAACAAATAGAGGTAATGACAATATAAACTGGAAAGGAAGACCTAATTTTAGCTGTAGAGTGCAAAGATAATACAGGTTTGAAATAAGACAAGAGGAGTGACTGGCCCAGTGGCTGACACAAGCCTATTGGCGCCTTAACCTAGGGGCGATGTAGGGGTTATATACCTCTACACCCCACGGTAGAAGAGGAGCGACTAAATAAGTAGTAATATTTCTATTATTAAGCTTTTAAACTATTCTTAACCCCTCTATAACTCTCCTTGCCTGGAAAATATCCCCCCTCCCCCGTCCCGTCCCCACCAATGTTTGGTGTAGATATCGCTGTACAAAACGTTTGACGAACCAAAACAGCCCTAGCGTCGTCAGAGCTATAGCTGGCGAAGGTTAGGAAGAAGAAGAACTTGATAGCAGAATTCTTTAAATTTATTTTGATAACAGCAAAAATGAAAAAGTCTCGCCCCGTTCAAAAAAGCAGTGGCACACTTAAGTTAGCTAAGTTTCCTATATAGGACATTGCAGAACCAACCCTGGTATTTTTGGCTTTTTAAACTAAATTTTGTTGCTGCTATTTACTTTACTAGGCAATTTTCCATTTAGTAGTTTGCCATTGCCACTAAACGGTCGGCTCTACAGACTAAATTTCCAAATCAATAGAAACCTGTCTATTGCTAAATCACACATATCACGGAACTACAAAACCCTTTCACAATACCCAAAGCTCCAATTCTCAGAGTGGCAAACTACTAAACTCAAAATTACCAGGTACAACCACACGCAGGGTCGGATTTAGACTTGATGAGCCATAAGTTATATAAAGACCAGAAGCCCGTCAGTTTAAATTTCGCCAGTCGTCAATCTTAGAAAACTGCAACATGTATGAGAGTTAAAGATAGAAGTCTACGCATATCCGGCTGATTATTTTGTGTAGTTCAAATAGGCTACAAGTTATAATTAATAAAATCATGAAATAATATACCCAAAACAATAGTCATAAAATTGGACAATTTATTGTGAATTTGTTGTTGTTTTTAAATACATAGAAAGAAACCTGCATTTGTGAAAGAAAATTTGGTAACCATGGAAATAAAGTGTCTGAGAAAGACTGTACGAGTCACCAGAAGAGATAAAATCAGGAATGAGGTCATACGAGACAAAGTCGGAACGGAACCAATTCTAAATTACATACAAAGACAGCAAATCAAATGGTTTTCCCACTTGGAAATAATGCATTCTGATGCTATACAATACAAGGCATATACCAAAAGAGGAGAAGGACGTAAATAAACAGGTAGACCAAGAACAATATGGGAAGACAACATCAGAGAAACTCTACAGCACCACCATGTGTCTATGGTCAGAACAGCCAGAAGAGCGCGAAGCAGGACTATATCTCTCTCGACACCCGAAGCGGTAAAAGAGGACGTAAACAAAGAAAGAAAGAAACAATGTGCGAAAAGAAATGAATTTAAAAAAAAGCATTTTAAGGTCCCTACATATAGTAAAATCGGCTCTGTGGCTAAGTCGATGCGAACGCTTCGTAATGCCGGGGTACCGGGTTCGATCCCAGCCGCGGGCCATGAGCCTTGCGTTGGTTCCGACAGTGGTATCAGGAGGCCGACCGTCCAGAAAGCAATGGCAAACTAATGGACGTAAATTTGCCTAGAGAAACCACACAAAAGCCAGAGGCTGCTGTGGTTGGTTCTGCAACGTCCTGTAAAGGATAAGCAACAAACCTTAGCATATTGTAAGGTGCTAATCATTAGCTGGGTTAGCTTGTGCCTTATCCAGCACTGACCCCGGGGAATAAGTAAGTGATGCGTTTAATTTGCCACGTCCTAGAAGTTTGATGTTTGAAGTTTGAACAACGGACCAACATAATGGCATACGGGTAGTAACCTATGAGTGCTGTGTTCTTCTTCCAACTCAAGTCTGAGTGCTAAGAAGCTCAGCACAGTGCCCAGGCTCTGTAGCACCGGCGAGGATCGTGAAATACTTTTGGTAGATTTTTAACTCACAATTTTGCCCGGGCAGCGCTGGTAGGCTACGCTTTTCGATTTCCAATTGCCAAGGTTTTTTTTTTTTTACGGGCGCAACAATGCACACAAGCGTCCGATCTCACTACCCAGGGACCAAGGGGAATAACTAGAAGTCCACGTCCACGTAAAAAAAAAAAATCCTAGTCCTTACCGGGGATTGAACCCAGAACCTTCAGCACTCGAGGTGGACAACATTTCACGAGACCACTGACCTGTAACCCCCTCCCCCGCCCTACCTAACTCCCCCACGTCCTGGAGAATAAGAAAAGATATAAAACCGAAAGAAAAGTAAATTAGCAAGCTTCACAAAATAACAAATACAAGCAAAACGTGAACGTTGCAGTTATTGAACCTTCATTAGCACATACAACTGAAACAATACTACACAGATACACAAAATCGCTTAGCTGGTAACTCGAAGCAGCTGGGTAGGGGAGAATAAGAGAACTAACTTTTATTAATCAGACTGATAAAAGTTTAACCCCACCAGGACATTACACCGAGCGATAAACACCCGGCGACACAAAGTGCCATCATTCGGATGAGGATACCCCGGGAACAGGCCCCAGAAACACCGTACAACCCCTAAAGGAATTAATTAGAGCCCCGACAACAGCCGGGATGGGGCTTCGAAATAATAAAAAAAAATGGCGTCCCACATGGAAAAGGAAATTGATTTTTGTTAAAATTAAACTGGCATCGGTGTTTAAATATCATGCAGCAGTATTAGTTGAAGTCTAGATATATAAATTAAGATTCCGTGCAGTAAACCAAACGTATAGAGACACTGCATGGGAGTTCGTAACGGAAGCCAATAGAAAATATTTAGTGCAATACAGCCTAGCATACGACATCACACCATCTAGCATAAGAATGGAGGTGGAGGTGGTAACTGCAGCTCTCCGGTGGCTAGAGAACAAGATGCATACATGTCGTAATTGTAACAGACATAATCTTTGCTATCACTAACCTAAGAGTGCACCAAAAGAGGAGAAGGACGAACAAGAGGTAGACCAAGGTTAAATGGCAAGACAACATCAGATCTGTTACAGTACAATTTGTTTGTCTATGATTGAGGCGACCAGAAGAGCACGAAGCAGAACCTCGTATCCCCCTCGTCAACCGAAGCGATAAAAAAGGAGATGAAGAGAAAGGAGAAGCTCAGCTACAAATGTTCCTTTCAAAGATGAATGATATTGCTTGTACACCTGTTAGTGATAATCATTGCGCGGTACTGCCAGTGAACGCACATGGCGGCACTGCGAAACCGCTGCTACAAATAAAAGACCAGCTTTGCTGGGATGTCGACTACCTGAAGCATGCTTTCTGTACGTTAAGTCGGTTTGATAGTTAGGAATGTTAACGAACGAGGAATGTTAACTGTTGCCGCCATTATCCGCCGGATCTGTCTTCTCTGTGCATATCTCCTTTCTGGTAAAGTGAAAATTTACGAATCTGTTATACCGTGTCAGGATTCCATAGTAAATTGAATTAATGGGGGTGAGGTAAAGAACCCTTTCCATATCTTCAGGCGTATTGGGCATATAGGGCTAGACCTACATTTTATAGACTAATCGGCACTAAGTGAAAGATGTAGTCAGCATCACACCGACTGCCTTTACTTCCCAGGACTGTACCTGGCACTCACTCAAGGCTGTGCTGACCTGAGAGTCAAAGTCATTCCTGAAAAAAAGTCCTGCTCTGACAGGACCCGAGTCCCCTACCTTCCGACAAGCAAGCGAGCATCTAGCCGCTACACCACGGCTGCTTGCCGAATTAATGGGAGTGACTATGATCAACCGTATATGCTGCTTAACATTCATAGACACAGAGGAAGACCACTTTAATGAGAAAGGCGCCAACTTCACTTGGAGGCAGCTGTTTCGATTTTCGGAATTCTTATTTTAACAGCCAAATTTTGCTCCGGCAGCACAGTTAGGCTACTCTTTTTGCGATTTTCAACTGCTAAGGGATTTTTTTTTAAACGTGCGCAAGAATACACACGGGCGTCCGATTTTACTACCCAGAGACTGGGGGAAATTACTAGAAGTCCACGTGAAAAAATTCTAGCCCACACTGGGGCTTGAACCCAGGACCTTCAGTACTCGGGAACGGACGCCATAACTCGAGACCACGTAGCCCACCTCCCCCCCTTCTTTCCTCTGGACTGGGGGCTACAGTCCTTAGTCATGTAACAATGAAATCTATCGCATCTGATCGTCAAAGGGGGAAGGAGCTGATCAGTCAACAGTAACTGGTGACCTAACGACACGAACTGTTACCCAATGGTGATAATGATCAATGGTGAAAGTTAAGAATCGACAGCACGGCACTCGGGACACTCTCATAAGCGCTCCGTCGTCATTTTCAGCAGCAAGCGAAGAGTTCCAGTTCCGATGGTACCAGTAACTGTCTGATTGTACATGCGTCTCACCTTTCCCTTGAGTGGAGCTTTGACCAGATCCCTTGGTAATTCCCCGCAGCGCCATTTTCCTCAGACCGTAAAGATCTATGTGTGTCTCCGCACTGTTCACTCGCTCCTAAGGGGTCCTCACAACAAGTCTTCACCAAATGGTACAGAACCAGTCAGTCTATCCGCCTGTTCGTTTCCCAACACATCAGTATAATCCGGAGAATGTTTTTTTTTCCTATGCTGCTAAAACTGTCTTAAAATACGATGCACCAAGAAAAATGTTGCTCGCACATCCCTTAAA